TTGGTTCATTCTATCTGCTGGTCAAAGGTTTAATTATTTTCTTTACTCTGAATTTCTTTCTGGAGAATTAGGCCTCCAAGTACTGACTCATTAAATGCCTTGATCACTTCAATGGATTTCCAGCAGCTTATTGGATTCTGTTGAAAGTATTGTAGGTTTGTGTGTGTGTGTCTGTGTGTGCGTGTGTGTGTGTGTGTGTGTGTATTAGGGGATGCTGATGGAGCCGCTGGCTACAGAAACAATAAAAACATAATGTCAACGGTCAGTTTCCTTTTAAGGACTTAATGTATTATTCTGTTAATGCAAAACCAACATGGAGAACAGTGTTTCATACACACGTACACCGTCTATGTGGCTTCACCTCTAAAGCTAAATATGAATATGTATTCGAAAAGGCTTCAGCGTCATAAGATTCTGTCCTTTCCATATTTGCAGCAGTGCACGTTTCACATGTAGAAACATTGTTTGCAGACCTCATTATAACACATACTTATCCCCACTGCATTAGCATGCAAACAACTGGATAGCGCACACACACACACACACACACACACACATTCACTCTAAGTGTTTCTTCCTTCCATCTGTAGCGATTGCCTCTGCACTCCTCCTCACTGAGCAGCATCTCTCCTCCTCGTACCTGTTGAAGGTACCACGTTACCATCTTCCAAATCTACATACATTACTTGTAATGCTCCTTCATTTTTCCCCACAATGCTACAGAAATATTATCAAAAGTAATCTGAGGTCTCCAATCCTCTACCCCTCCTCCTCCCATCTCCATCTCCTTCCTCCACCCCCTCATCTGTCCACGGGAGTGAAAGATGGGATGGAGGGATTAATACTCTTCCGCCCATGCCAACCCCGGGAATGATAGATGGACAGACGCAGGAAGGGAGAGGAGGAGGAGGAGGAGGCGAGGGAGATTAAAGGAGAGAAGTCTTGAGGGTTCATAAATCCAAAGTGAGACCTGGTCTGCATCACACACTAATAAGATCTGCAAGAAATCCATGATGAGGGAGGGAGAGAGAGGTGGAGAGAGAGATGTAATAGCATTAGATGTAATCTAATCATGGCAATAAGATGTGAATGGATGAGTGCGAGCACGGTGATTATGCAGAAGAGGGATGGCGGCGTGTTGATGAAGCATCGGGGCGCCAGGACAGGCCGTGTTATTGAACAACAGCGTCAGTCGTCGTCCTCGCTGGGGCAGTTTTTCCGCATTCGGCTGTCCTCCCCCCCCCACCACGAAGCAGCGGGTGAAGATGCAAAAAAAAGGACTCAATTTGATGTCGATTTGAACCTGGGGTTAAAAAAAAAAAACTTGTGTGTCGTGTCGGCGTTATGAGAAGAATCGGCTGCACGTGCACAAAGTGACTCGGACCGGATTGAGTGCTCCCTCACCTCCCTCCTCTCCTCCCAGAACCCCGCCAGCACCCCTCCGCCCTAAACCCCCCCCCCCACCACCACCACCACCTCCCCTCCACCCACCCGGGCCGCATTTTTCATGGCCCCGGCTGTCGGAGCTCCGTGATTGGTCGGCTGCGCGGACAGATAGCCGATAGGCTCTGATTAATAGTTGAGGCCCAAGAACTTCCTCATTGATCAACAGGACAGGCCGGAGGAGGAGGAGGAGAGAGAAAAAGCATGCCCTGTCGCTCCGCAAGTGCTGCCTGATAACCCCGATAGCGGCTCCTGGAGTGTGCGTGTGCGTGCGTGTGTTCGTGGGTGTGCCTGTTTATAATAGCAAAGAGCGGATGAAATGGAGGCGCTGCGGCGACGGTTTATTCGCCTTCTTTCCATCTCTGAAGCTTTGACTCCGGGCTGAAGGGTGCGATGGCATCACTGAGTTTCCCCATGAATAAGAAAGCACGTATGTTATCAAACAAATCACACACAGCCTATTGGGCCAGCAGCTAATGTCTGTGGGGCCTGTTCGTTGTGTGTGTGTGTGTGTGTGTGTACACGCGTGTGTGTTTGTTGACGGGCTGAAACATAAAATAGAAAAGTACTTACTTGTTGTATCTAAAATGTGCTTTGGTTGTATTTTATTTGAAGTACCAGTATATTTGTTTCCCAGGTACATCTGCAGAATGTGTGTGTGTGTGTGTGTGTGTTACAGTATCTACGTGTGTGTGTTTGCGCGTGTCCCCTCCTGGTGCTCTGTCCAGCCTCCAGTTGATTGATGATCTCCACTCCCACGGGGTCAGCGGGGTCATGACCTCCCACTTTTGACCCCCTACAGGGAGGGTCAGGCACACACACACACACACACCCACACACACACACACAGACCAGCCCAGGGCAAGCAGATGGGGGCGGGACAACTGGCGCTGCCTCACCTTTCTCTCACACAAACACCGTTACAACACAACAGCGCGGCAGCGTGACGTAACGCACTGAGAATCAGCTCATGCTGCATTACGCTTAAAATAAACCTGCACCACGTGCTCTAAATGTGCCGCCTTTTTAATACAACATTTTATTATACCAGCAATAGAGAACAAGCAGCGACTTCGGACTCACAATGCTTGTGTTTTACAATGAAAGCGGAACAAGAGATGGACACACACGCAGCGATATCGCACCCCGGTGATCATACGGGGTTAGGACTGCTGAACTGATGAATATGGGTTTAAATAAAACACATTAATGATGTTACATGAGGGTTGTTAAAGGCATTAACACACCAGGTTTACACATCTTAAGAGTTTCCATGAATATAAGACAGCGGATATAGAAAAGCAACAGAACCTTCTCCACTTTTTAAAATCAATACTGTTTATAAAAGAGAAGAAATTCTCAAAGACGCATTCAAAAAATACCAAGGCGCACAAACACACAGATCTGTGCTGAGATAAACTGCGGGAACAGGAGGGGCGGAGAGGAAGTACAGGATGATGATGATGATGATGAGGAAGCACAGTTGCCATGCGCACAGGCTCACGAATCTGCTTAAGGGAACCGTGATAAGAGCTGATCGGGTTATAATGTGATCAGACCATCATCTCCAGGGCGGCCATCTTCAGCCAGCCGACCACATGTTCCTCGATCTCCTGAGAGGAGGAAAGGAATGTTTCATCATCCCCGTGTCTGTTCTGCAGATGACGCGATAACACTGCACACGCACCTGTCTGGCCTCCGCGAGCGAGCGGCGGTCCGTGGCTCTCCGGCTCATCATATCGGCACAGTGAGCCGCGTCCTTGATGAAGACGGTCCGGGCCCCTTCTCCGCCCTCGGCTCGGCGCCGGACCACCGACAGCTCCTTCCACGGGTCAACTCCACCTGCGACGAGGAAGTAGATTTCTCTTCTTAAGCCGCCGCGGTGCCACTCCTCCATCTCCTTCAGGTGCACTTGTTATCTCCGCCAGATGCGAGGCCTCCCGGGAGGTGATGGTCCCGCCCGTTAGGAGACTGTGCACCTCCGTGTCGGTCCACGGCTAATCCCGCTGTCTCCCGCCGCGGCAAACTGCACAACATTTAGTGTGGCCAGTTATCGCTGCGAGCTCAGGGACCCCTAATGTTTGTGTTGGCTCACACTTTCTCAAACAAACATTTTGCTGAGTCAACCCTCAACACTCTACCCAGCAGGTAGTGATACCAACGATGAGTGCATCTACAATCTGGTTACTCTGCGCCCGGGGACACTTTGGGAGGAAGCTGTTTGCACACTGTTATTATGTTTGGCTAACAGATAACAGAAGTACCAGTAGAGATCTGCACTTCCCGGAGCACACCCTTCCAGTTGGTGGGGATTTGTCTTTTAGCAGGCCTCACCGTTGACGTAGAGGACCCTGTGTGTGTGGGGGTTGTCTCCTCCGTAGTAAGTGTTGGTGAAGGCGACGCGTTCGGGCAGAGAATCCTGGGAGATGCCAAACAGCATCAGACAGAGTTCAGTCTGAGACCTCAGGGTCACCAACCCAGAGAAGGGACAGGAGGCGTCCTCACAAGTCTGGTCTACGCACACACAACAAAAAGGTGTCAGACAACAGCAAGAATGATGGTTGGCTGCTATGGTGTATTATGAGTGTGTGTGTGTGTGTGTAGTACAGAAGCCAAACTCAGTGCAGGTCTGGTAGGTCCACTGTCTCTCTGTTCTCCTGCCTGAGTGGACGGTCGTGTCCATCAGTGCCGTCACTGTTTTCTCATGGGAGATGTCCAGACATGGTTCCCCACTGGACGAACGGTAGATCTGCACAAACACACGCACACACACACACACACACACAGAGGAAGTAACACACATGAAACACCAACCCGTGGGTCCCTCCCTGCATGATTCCATTGGCGGGAGGAATCACCTTTGCATCAAGCCTGGTGAAAATGGTTCGAGGGTTACACCTGGTGGTTTAAAACAGGAACTGCAGGTTCATCCGTGTGGTTTTACCTTTGCCAGCCTGACAAGGCGGTTGTAAGGCCTCATCTCCTCCACTTTTGCCTCGCTGGTGTTGGTCATCACCCCGCAGAGCTCATTGATCGACATGAGCACCCCTTCTTCGTTGTACTGCACGGTCCCCATGATGATGTCAGCCAGGTTTTGCATCAGCTCAATCTGAAAGGTGTGGAGGAAAGTATTTATTTTCCACTCAGATGCATTTGCTCTGCATGAGAATTATGCATAAGATTGTAGAATGTGATGAAATGAGACGGTTAGGCGTCCTTGGGAGTAATAAAGGCCAACGTTTTATTGGTGAATATCGCTTTCATGTGATGACCTTTACCTGATCGTCGAGGTTCTTCGGCGTCTGACAGCATCCAAAGTCCGCGGCCGCGCGGCTGGCGTTCCCGCCCATCAGGGCCGCGGCGGCGGCGAAGGCGTCTCGCACAGCAACCAGGCACTGCGGGAAGAGGTGCGAGTTTTAATCCAACGCACGGTGATGGACGGAGAGGGGACGCCCGTAATCGGATGCACGGACATGCGGCCGCCTTCGCACCTTTTCTGATCCACCAACGGCTTCGTTGGCGAGGCTCGAGCCGACGGCCTGAAACAGGGAGTGACAGAGGTGAGAGCCGGCGGGCGTCACGCCGCTTGTTGGTGATGAACACAGCAGTTCTGCTGCTGTAACAATGATCGGCCGGTTGGGTTAAAGGGAGAATAAGAAGGTCACGTCTACAGGGAGGTTGACTGATTAAACACATAAATAATGGGACTATAATTTAAACATTTTTATCATTTATTTACTTATTTTTCCTGAGGCTCGTCAACTAATTCATGTGAGGGGCAGCTTGGGACTAATAAAGCTAATATTGAATGTCAGTATTCATGAATGAGGCTTGGTTACGCTGCTGTAGGCCGAGAAGTCCAACTTCGCCCTGACAGGAGCGGAGGAGGCCACGGCTCCGTACACCAGGTGGGGGAACTGCAGAAGCACGAAAGAGGAACACAGGAGAAGGGAAGTCGAAAAGTGTCACAGAGACACACGCGCCGAGGCGAGAAAGCGTCGACCTTCAAATCCGAACAAACGGTTATCGACGATCTGATGGCCTGATGTGCGGCGCCAATGCGGTCGGCACCTTTCCTCTGAACCAGGCCGACAGGGCGCCGGCGTACGAGCCTCCGAAGCTGATCCAGGTGTTCCTCTGGCTCAGGCTGAAGCTCTGGCTGATGTGCTGGTGAAATACCGCCAAGTCAGCGAGTCTGGACAAAACACACACGAAACAACGCTTCAGTCTTCGTAGAGACGTGCACAGGCATGACGGGAAGCTGTGGCCCCGTTGTGTCACTGATACGCGATTCGGACAACGCGACACTAACGCCTGCTGGCTGTTCAGGCCTGACAGGTTCTCCGTTTTGAGGCCGTCAGGGTTGATGCTGTCGCCATAGAAACGATGCTCCAGAGCCAACAGCAGCGCCCCGTGCTCCTCGGCCATGGCGACATGGTGACCTGGGGGGAGCGGATGTGGTTCAGTTTGGTGCGATGCTTCTGACCTGGTGTTTTGGTGTTTGAATGGGTGTGGCGGACAGGTGAGGACGTGCGCTTCATCCCGCTGTATACCTGCCAGAACAGTGGACTCAGAAATGGGCCCTTCTCCTCCGATATAGAGGAACACCGGACCATCCGGACGCCGCCAGTGCGCCTCGTTCACAAAGAACCTCTGGGGAGAAAAGACAGAATGAGAGAAAGAGAGAAAGTAAAAAGAAAGACAGAAATGTTCTATTCAGGTTCAGACCAGCAGCACCTTTGGTAAAGAAAACCCTCATTTGATGCTACAAAGGACACATTTGCACTTTGGCAGACATAAATGAAAAGGTAGAGCAACTTCAGTGAAGTTTAGCTCTCGTCTGTGGAGCAAAGGCACAGCAGCACTGTTGAGGCATGAGACAGATTTAATCTGACCAGGACGCTATTTTTCCCCCACGTGGCTGCACTGTAAATAACCCTCAGAAACAGTATGAGATGGCTTCAAATTCAATACGGACTTCAAACAGGTTATGAGATCAGAGAAACTTGTGCAAGTGTTCTTTTACCGAGCCTGAAATGTCCGGCCTTTCTCTCTCTCTCTCTTTTTTTTCTAATATTTAACAAACATTTTGGGAAATTATCCTTTGTCGCTACCACAATACTATTGTATGCTTGTAATATTCATCTAAGACCAGGTATTTATTTAGATTTTACATTTAAAACAGAAAAATGTAATATATACTGTGTATATATATAAAAGAAATATACACTATATTTTATATATAAAGATATATACATATATATATAAGCTGGCCCTGCAGAGAGACCACTGATCTTTCTCCACCTGAGGGAAGGTGCTGACGTCCAGGCGGTCAAAGTGGTCCAGCTGCTGGTGGATCCGGCCTTCCTTCACGCGCTGGAGAGGCTGCTTGGCTTTTTGCAGCGAGAGGTTACGCACGCGCTCCTTGATCCTCCCCAGAATCCGTCCTGGCATTAAAGAAAGAAAAGAAATGTGACACTCGCCAAAGATACTTGAATCTCTACACTAAAACATCTGATCTAATTGCAGTGACAGTCAACATCTATCGGCAGCCTCCTGAGGGACTTTCTGTCTCCACCAGCGTCTTTTCTCTTTCGTAAACTCATCGTCAGATGCAGCGGAGCCTCCATCAACTCACCAGCGTCCGTTGAGTTCCACACAAGTAGAAGGACGAGACAGCGGGAAGAGGACAGAAGCATCGTCAAAGTCTTCAGGACACTTCAGGAGAAACGTCGTGTCAGTGAGCAGCAATCAGGAGGATCGCTCATCAGCTCCCTTTATAGTCCTCGGAAACTGTGACATGACCTGTGTAATATTGATCCGCATTCGGCATTTCAATGAAAAACAGAAAGTGAGAGAAGGTGTGTGTGTGTGTGTGTGTGTGTGTGTGTGTGTGTCTGTTTCTACAATATATGAACCGCTCAGCAAAATAGAGAGTTAGCTGGGTGATGTAACTCGATCTTTCTGCCATGTAATTGCTTTTTCTCGGAGTGGTTGAGTTACAGGAGCATTTTCTTGACTTTTTCCCCATAAGGTAGTGTGTTGCATCAGTGAGAGGGGCTGTCCTCAAACGCACACACACACACACACACACACACAATCCCTAAAAACTCAAAACTGCTTCTCTCAGGGTTTTGTGTTCCTAAGCAGAAGCATCACGGCGAGTTTGAGTTGACAAAATACTTAAAATGTTGGCTAATTTGTTGCACTACAACAACTTTTGAATGGTGTTAATTTGGTTTAGAATTTCTTTTTTAAAGAATTGTCATAATATAATTTCTAAATGAATCGTATAGTATATAAAAGAGTAAAAAAGTAATCACCCAGAATGCCCTAAAAAGTAAATAGTACACTGTAACCAATTAATAGGCCATATAATCTCCTTTTTAACAACATCCTTTCACAGCGTATCTGTCAATTGTTTTGTGTGAGAACCCGGTTTGACGTTCCCGTGAGTGCTGTCCGTTATAATGAATTTGTTCTCAGGCTTTTGTCTCCTTTGACAGCGGCTCTGCAGTCCTAAGCCTCTCCAGATGGAAGAAGAGCATCGGCGTAAGCCTCCAGCAAGGATCTAGATTACCGCATGTGCAGCTCTGAAACCATCCAAAAGCAATTAGTCATTAAGGATTGGCAAAGCGGAAATCCTCTGTGACATTATCACACACTAACCTGTCAGACGTGGCCACTAATGGAAGATTATGTGCATTTTATGTGCGTTACGCGGTTGAAATCCAACCGCGTAGATATCAGGAGGGGAAAAAGGGACACAAACTGTCTCGTGATGCATGAGCAGGATAAGGGTGATGACGGCAAACAATCATCTCCTTGATGCGACACTGTAGGACCGTTTCACAGCACAATGGCGATAAAAGCTATAATCAACGTCAGAATGAGGAAATAACTGAGGAGAGGCATCAGAAGGCGGCTTGACGTGTTGTCTGCATACAACTAGAATGGCAACAACTTGTCGCTAAAACAAAATACCACGACAGAGAAGTGAAATGGTTTTATTTGGGCTGCACTACAATGATGTGCCAAAGATTTAGGAGTTCCGAGATTAACGAAGAACAGACACCTTGTTAATGTCACAACTTTATTCACAGACAGGTTTCACGATTTAAAATCAAAGCTGATTTTATTTGATTGATGTACCATATAATATGTCCCCTTTCAGTAGTACTGACTTTAGTCCAGTCCCTGACTCTGGACTAAGGCTTTAAATCGTTGGTTTACAAAACATTCTAACAGAGCCGTTTTTCTCTTATAGATAAACACGTGCGAGGGAAAACAGAGGCATCCTTTTTAAAAATATACACCAAGGTGTTGAGAAAGAAGCTAACAGATAAAAACATCCAAAGTGAAACTGACGCTTCATTAGTTTTAATTGTGATGGAAAAGTACACTAAAAAAAGGGAAAGCAGAACTTGTGCAACCTTCTAATAAATAAAAGCAGGGAGGGGAGAAGGAGGCAGGCAAGAGATGCAAGCAAGCGACTATCGGCAGTTACACCTTACAGAGAGTCAAGAAAGGGTTCAAATCGAGGGACAATGTTTGCGCAGAGAAGCAAGTCGTCATGCTTTGCACGGATGATTGTTGGCGAAGCGGCGAGGGAGCAGAAAACAAAAAGAACGGTCTCCATGACAACACATGGAGACCGTCTCCCCCGACGACGACGACCATCGAAACACGAGTCCCCAGAGGAAGAGGAGTGCAAATTATAAATCCTCATTGGCCACAAGAACAACCCTGTGATGGAATCAGATGTTTGGTGTTGCATCACACGTGAAGATCACCAATGGGAATCACCCAAAAGAAATTAAAAACAATAAAGAAAACATCAAACCAAAGATCACAAGTGAAGTGTAACTAAGAACAGCGGGGGGGGGGGGGGGGGGGGCTACGGCGACTGGCGGTGTGCCCTCGCGCGGGCCGAGCGGCGTTTACGCGCCGTCGCAGATAACCGTCTCCACCACGAAGGTGTTCTCGAAGTGACGGATGTGGTGGCAGTCCTTCGCCTCGCGCTTGTTGATGCCTGAGAGGGGTTTTAAAAAAACGGGGTGAGACACGTTGGAAGCGGGACCCGGAGATGCAACGCCGATCAGATAAAAACACAGACGTCCATCTTCCTGCGTGGCCTCTCTCAGAAAACCAAAAACAAAACAACAAACTACTTACGTCTGCGGGTGACGCGGCGGTTCAGGCGGTACGTGTCCTTCCCATTGCACAGGCGATAGATGAACGGCCCCAGCTGACGCATGTTGTGCACCCTGCCCGTCACCACCATCTCCTCGTGGATGATGTAGGTCTGAGGCAAGTACGTTCCCTTCTGCAGGCGACGAGGGGTAAGAGAAACACGTTATGAAATAACCCCACAGTGTTGTGGAAGACGCTGACAAAACAGGAAGCTTGAGGAGCTCCGGCGGCTAACTAACAGCGGGTTGTTCAAAGCTAGCTAGCGGGGGAGCTGTTGTGTAGTGACAGAACTTGGGTGGTCGAAGGGCGAAGGCGCAGAGTAAAGCCATTCCTTTTCTAAGTGTAAAGGCCGTGCTTGCGAAGGCGATTTTGATTTGTGTCACCTTCACGTTGATGAGGAGCTCCAGAAGGTTGCGTGGCGGCATCACGATGGTGGTGTTGAGCTCGATAACGTAGCACTTGTCCAGGGCGATGTCGTGGTAGGCTGTAAGTCCCTGGGAAATAAAACCGTTCATCAAAGACAACATTTTCAATGCAGGGATTTATATTCGTTGACAGTTTATTGATTTGACTGATGCTGGCAAATGTCTCTGGAAATGAGACATTTTGGTCCCCAGAAGACGAATCCTATGCGGCTGTCGTCATAATAACAATGTGTTAGCATGTTAGCATGCTGATGTCAGCAAAACAACTGCTGTGCCTTTGTACGGCCTCGAAGAGCTCTGCGCATTGTCTCGGTTCACCTTGGATTTTCTTATAGTCATTTTCTTTTTCTGTATCTTCTGTAACAGCTTTTAGTATTAAAAGATTGAACTGTGTATAATGGTTCAACTTTGTGCGTTTTGTCCTCACTCTGTGGAAGTCGTGGATGATATCAGCCGGGTCGCTGCCCCCGAAGTGAGGCACGGGCACGGTGATCTTCTCGTAGTTGTCGCCCAAGTAGATGCCGACATTTTCCTCCAGCTCCTGACGCCCGCGCAGCGGAGCGTACGCAGAGTCCTCGTAAAGCACCCTGCAGTGGAACAGGTTCTCCTCCGGGATCTGCAAAACAACCGCACAACGCAAAATCAGCGCCGCGAACAGTCGGAAAGTGGCGTTGCAAGAATATCCTTTTGTTAGAGGCCTGACTGATGTACAAACACCGCCTCGGGGCAGTTAGCCGGATAGAGTTTACATTCACGGCCGTTCAAAATGTCACTGCCGTCATTTCATCCTTTTTGACATTTGTGTGAAATTGTCATCATTTTGTCATCTGAAAAGAGAGCGAATAGCAACACACGAGGCTTTTTTTCCCTCGAGGGAAAAGATGCTTCCAATGGCGACAGCACAGATCTTTCTGTCAAACGAACCATCCGTCGGGGGTTATAAAACCCAAAAGGACGTTGATTGAATTCATGAACACAGTATTTGGTGCAAAGGCCAAACTGAGACAAATGCAACGCACCCAGAGGAGAGTAACCAGGTCTTACATGAGGTATGAAGTAGTAGCGGTAGACATAAATGGAGGCCAGGACCAGACCGGCCATGAACACCATCAGGGCCAAACGTCAGGCAGCACAGGCCATTCAGGGGAGACTTTTTGGGCCGCAGGACCAGCTCGTCGTCATCATCCTGGAAAAGACACACACAACAAAGACCTTAATACTTCAAATGATCACAGGAGGCAGCTTTCAATCCCAACGTGCAGCTCACTCATCTGACGAGCTCCTGAAAACCCAAATTAAGCGGTGCGCTTCAAGCCGGAATTAGTAGCACCGAGCCGAGCCGGAGGAAGGGATGACGCAGCTCGTTTTAATGAACGCTCGACTGAGAGATGGTGAGTAATCCTCCCAGACGCCCACCGGTCTCGCGAGCCGTCTGCTGGCCGGGTGGCACTACGCACGGGTAGTATCAGTGTGCACGCACAAAAACAGTGACTTAGCAGCCAAGCGCCTGAGGCGGGTTTAGAAACGGCAACGGTTGCTATATTGTCAGACAGAACCGGGAAGGGGGATGAAAAGGAAATCATTGTTTGTAGGGTGAAACTTTGAAGAAAAAGTGATGACAATCGTGTGACAGGAGGGAGAACGGTGGCGTCGGCGAGCACGCTGTTGGTCCTTTTTTTGGCTCGGCACAATGTTCTTTGTGGAAGCGTTTGGGAACAGAAGGGTGCGCGAGGACAAGGCAACAACTGTGCATGTGCGAAACGCACACTTCTGCGAGACGCCGTTCTTTGTGCTCTGCCACCCGGCTCGGGGGCGGGGGGGGGGGGGGGGGGGGAAAAAAAAAACAAAGGCTTGTTTTCACAGAGGTGTTCAGAGTTAATAAAGGCTCGTCCTCTTCGGGGGGCCCCTTCCTGGCGTGGTTTGATACGGCGTGGAGGTCGAGGCCGGGATGCTGATGCTGATGCTGCAATATGGGAGCTGTGAAAAATGACCCTGCATGTGCTGCAACCCATCTGCCATTTTGTCAGCGCAAATCTCCAGCGTTTCTTCAACCTTACCTTTTTTTTTAATTTGTTTTTTTGATGCAGGGGGAGATATTTATTTAAGGGGAGAAATCAGTCGCTATGCCATAAAAAACAAACACAAATACAGAGCCTTTATTTTGTGACATTCATGCGTGACAGCCCCCAAACAAAGCGCATGCACGTGCACGATGTAATACCTAAAGTGCCGCAGAAGGAAGCGCACATTGGCAGGTTTTGTTTTTCGAATGGAACCGCGATGAAAAGGTCCCCTGATGCTGAGGCCGTGCAGGTGCACGCTGACCCGCAGACCAACAACAACAAAAACACCCGCAGGAGAGTCCGGAACGCGAACCATGACGACACCGGCAAACGTTATCAGTACGAAGCCGCAAGAAGGGACGCGGAGACTCACCGCCGGGTGAGGGATGAGGATCTCGGTCTTGTCGCCATCGTTCTCCGCTTTCTGTCCCGAGATGGACTGGAAGCTGATCTTCACCATGTCTCCCGGTGTCTCTGTCCGTCAGGCAGGTGTCCTCGCCGTCTTATCGATGACAACCTTCCTGCAAAGCAAAAGCCCCTGAACTCGTCGACGTGAACGTCCTCTTCTGCCGTCCCGGTCTGTTGTCTCTTCTTGTTCTACCGGAAGTGGGGCCGTTTGGGGGGATTTTATTTTTCCTTCTATTTTTTTCTAGACGCTCTTAAAGGACTAGTGCGGTGTTTGTTTGTTTGTTTGTTTCGATCACATAATACAAATACGGTATCAGCTATCCGGCCTTTTTGGCTTTAAATGAGATTACTGATTAGTGATAATTATCCTCTTAATTTGAAATCGGGTTTGCAGAGCAGCTGTCACTGTTTTCGTTCACTCTCTTATGGTGGTTTGAGGGCCAGCAGGCTGCTTTTATTTTATGAGCAGAATATACAATAAATAAATAAATAAAACACTGAACACCTGCTTGTGTCTGAAGCCAAATATCCGGAGGCGGTGGAGACCAAACACGGAGCTAAAAGGAGGCTGAATATTAGATACATCGTAAAGACAAACGATGGAGTACATTCAGATCTAAATTTATTTATTATATTGGGGATAGCTAAAAATAGCTAATTTTCTAAGTTATGAATGGAGGCAACCAAATACTAAAGAGGGGTTTTAGCCAATTAAAGGTTATTTCAAAATAAGTGTAGGATGAAGATCCTTACTCCAGTAAAATAAATGATTATTTACACTCAAACGATTCAAGAGAACTAAAGTACTTTAGACCTTTTTAGTTTAATTGTTGCTCATGATTGGGAGACTAATCCACGTTCCCACTTCTGTAAACAAAGGACATGTTCACACCTACTGTACACAGGGAGAAATTGACCACAGTATCATTTTTATTCCAATTTTTTTATTTTTTATTTCCATTGTAGGGCCCAGGCCTTTGACACTTCTGAAAGCACCCACACGCTTTACGCTGAAACTGGAGTCAACGCCAGCACACAGCCATTCAGCCACTATTTCAATTTGGCATTTCAATGTTGTTAAATACTTGAAAAAAAAGAAGAAACAATTCCAGTACAACATTTGAGTACAGCACCATGCATAGCCAATGAGGAACATGCGTGTCCGAAGCGAATGGAGGAACTGTCGGCTCTCCGAGTAGCGCTGTTGTCTGATCAGAGATGGTTTCCGATTTAAAATGCATCTGTCTCACTACACTGGACCACGTCAATCGCAAAGAAATGTCCACATCTGTGGTCTCCTCAGATTTAGTCCGGACCACGAGGACAATCCAACATGTGCCCAAAGTACTCTGCTACCCACAATGCTTTTACACTCACAATTGTACTGGAATTATAAATCCTCTGTAGAGAAAGGCTCAAACGGAGGAGAAAAGGGGGGGGGGGGGCGGCGTGAGAATGGCGGCAGAGTTGCCAATGTCCTGATGAGCTCACCCCTGAATCCCACAAGCTGAGGGGCCACACAGCACTCCCAAGCCTCCAGCTGAGTGAGAGTGAAGAAATAAAACCAGTTGATGGAATTGAGGGCGGGGCGGGGGGGGGGCGCCGCTGTCCTCGACTCCAGTTGGGTGGTGATAATCGCTCAGCGCCTCACAAAGTGCACAAACACGCAGACTTTAATGTTTCAGTTAATGCTCTCCCAATCCCCCTCCTGCACGTCTTCAGCGGCCTGAGCGATACTTAAAATGTAGATGAGAATAAAAAGGAGAAACAGACCAAGAGCTAATACCGTGACATTCCTCCGCTGTACAAATTGTTAATATCACTAGTTAGCTAAATGTGAGCTGGCCCTTTAAGTTATGCACGAAGAAACCCAACAGCAACAATTTCAGCAGTAAAATAAACTGCAAAAACAACGTCACTTAACTTGTCGTTTCTTTTACGGTTTAGAAAGTAATTTGATTACGATGAACCAAAAACGTGATGTTTAAAGTAATATATATATAATATATATTCATATGTCAAGGTTAAACAAAGGAAAATCTACAAAGCAAAAAAAGAAAAAGGCATATGTACATGTTTATCCTTTCCCCCCCAAATAAAAAAACAAAACAATTAAGAGACCCAACTATTGGGGCTTTTTACCAAATTCATCCCTTCATCCCTCCCTCGGTTCCTCACGTGTTCCAATGCCGCGTTGTGACGAAGCACGCGGGAGGTAAATGGTTGAGTGGTGGCGTCTGAGAGCGCGTCCCCCGCTTTTAATGAACCACTGTTTCATTGGATGAAGGCATTGATACAAACTGGAGCGGTTGCTGCGGCGCGCGTGCAATCTCCGAGGTCAGTGGCACTGAACGCGGGAGCCGGGCCGGGCCGGGCCGAGCCGAGCCGAGCCGAGCCGAGCCGAGCTTCACAGGACAGCCGTGGATCTGTCACATTTCAAGGCATGCAACAAACACGCCAATGTTCAACTGGCTCGTACCATTTCCATCACAAGGTTTAAGCTGACGTTCTTGCAGTACATGTGTGTATTTCTGTTATGTAATATAGGTGTGTGTGTGTGTGTGTGTGTGTGTGTGTGTATATAAACGTCTGTTCTGCTTTTGTTCCGTGGTGTGTGTGTGTGCCGTACTTTATTTGCTGTCGCTACGTTTGATGGACTGCCCTGTAGTTATAATATACCTAACGTGTCTCAATGTGCAAGAAGCAGCAGCATCTATTATTTAGTTGTATTTCTTTTTAAAGAAAAATAATGAAAAGAAATTAAAACGTAATCAAAGTTTCACTGGGGAGCTGGCGTCTTCCTGACGGGTTGATATGGGTGCGTTGGTTTTTCATTTCTATCTTCAATATTTGTTCAGAAACCAGAAAAGCAGCTGCTGATGTGTCCGTTAAGCAGACGTTGTCCGGGCGTGGTCCTGGTGGCTCCTCCCCCTGCGCGCCCCCCCCCCCCCCCCCACACACACCCCTCCTCCTCCTCTGCCCCTCCCCTCAGGCCTCCTGGGGGACGGGCCTCTTGAGGTCCCTGATCTGTTTGACCAGGTAAGTCTTTTCATCGTTGAACTGTTCGTCCTCCGTTCTGTCGTTCTGGAACTTGCTGAGGAACTCGATGAGTTTGGTTTGGTTCTTCAGCAGGATGTCCAGGATGGGCTGCGTCTTGTTGGGGTTGGCCACAAACACCTGGACCCACGAGGGAGAGGGTGTTAACACGAGCAGATGGATGGTGGGCGTCGAGGATGTGGTCAAAACTCTGGTTGAACTTTTACCTTAAAAACATGGAAAGCCTCAAACTGGATGTTGCGGCTCTTGTCCCGTAGCAGGTTCATCATTAATTTGAGGTTCTCCGGCTTGCTGATGTATTTCGTCATTATGGTGAAATTGTGCCGGTCGAGAAGCAGCTCCCCCAGTAGCTAGATAACATCAGAGCAACATACAGAATTAAATATTCATTTGTATGTAAACATTTTCCATTTATTGACAGATACCTTCTGTTACTTACATGAAAATTAAGCAGCATTACAAATTAAAACACTACCAACTTTCATATCAATAATAAACCAATAACTGGAAACATGACACGGCAAACTTTGTATTAACATAATAATGAGATTACGGTAAAAAAAAAAAAAGGCACTGAATTAAGTCAGAAGCTGATTAAATCAAAAAGGTGCTTGTGAAGTGTAGAAAGTAGTAGAACCACTAGATGGCGGCGCGGACGAGGTGACTGAGGAGAAACCAAACACTGGGACGACACAGGCTTTAAATAGCGTCTCACACCATGTGACCTGTTTACTTACCTTGAGGGACTGTCTTTTAGTCACGTAGTTTTCTGAGTGGAGTAACTTCTCATATTCACTGAAGAACTAGAGGAAAGAAAGACAAAATACAAGTGTTTGGGTTGAGAGAGACTCATCTAAATGAGTCAAGCAGCGCTTCACACAATCGCATCCTTGTCTTGTATCTGAACACAATGACAGGACGGTAGAATATTTGCCCTCCCAGACTGACAGCTACTTTGTGTTGGCAGCCCGCGGATGATGTCCCAAATGGCTGGTTTCATGTAATCGAGGAAAGAGAATGCCGGCGTGTCAAACAACCAGACCGCCACGACTTGAATCTACTTAGAACGGGTGAAAATAAAGCGGTTGAGCACAATAATAAATGACATTATGAAGAGGCACAAATTGTCAAATACATTTTTTGGGCCCACTTAAATATTAGAATACAAATGTAAGATTTCAAACTTCATGTAGAGCTCAAATACTAAGATGGGAACGATAAGGTGAGACAACAATATTGATTTCTGTGGCAAGAGGTTAAGACAGAGGACGTGTCACTTGATTGAATCGATACCGTGAGTTTAAACGTAATGTGGGCGAGACAACGAGAGACCAGAGATGCACCAACACAACTTGTGCCCAAGAGAGGAGCTGGTTTGTTCGGAGGGTTTTTCGTTTTGGAAAATCAGACGCGAGTTAAATCAGAAGATGATTTATCGCAAAGTCTGTCGAGCCGCTGGTGGCAAGACTCGCAGCCACAACAAGCTAACAAGCTAACTCGCCGGCCAGTTGTGAGCAAGTTTGCCACTGAGCAGCGAACAGCTGTTCGGGGAGCCGGCGGTCCTTTTAGGGGTCAACGAACTAATGTGTTTACTTGAAAAGGAGACACCGTAACACACAGTCAGAATCTTTCTAAATACTGTGAAATGGATTTTTGGCCGTACCGCACAGCCCTAGTTAGGGGTATTAGTCTGGATTATATTTCACCACAACAGTGTTGTAGTTTGGTTACCGCAGATTTGAGGTTTTAGAAATAGTGTCCTCAAACACATTGAATTACAATTAAATGCGGTGAAAGCTTTAAGCTACTTGTTCGTATGGCAGAAAGGCTTCAGAGTAACGGATGGTTGATGACCAGTTAGCGGTACGAATTATTTTGTCCCTTTATGGTGTCATGGATCCACTTAAAATCACTTTAGTCCCGTCCCACTGGGGGACTGGGGGTGAATCTAGCGTTTGGTTGCGGGGGAACTTACTCTGTCGTAATGCTGCTCCAGGAACTCGGCACTCAGTAGCTTGTGTCTCGTGAGGAGGTCCTGAAAAAAGGAAATGAAGATTTTGAGAAACGGGGTCAGACTTCAAAGTAAATAGTTAGTCTGGTACTGTTTGTCTCCTCTCAGAAGCACACGCATTAAAAATAACTAAAATAAGACGTGCCATAACTTAGTATATTAACAGAATCTTTCCCGTTATAAACAAACATTGTTGCCTCCAAACCCTGGACGTCCCAATCGGCCTTTATAGTTCCCATAGCAGCAGCCAACAAATCATAAGACTTTCAGCCGGAGTTAGTTACAATGATTATATAGTTAAACAAACCAAGTGGCAGGAAGTAGAAGACAGAGACGCCGAAGAGAAATGAAAATATCTGCTAATTAACAGCAGTAAATCATGGGAGATCATTTTGGATCATTTAGGGGGGGGGGGGGGGTCTAAGCATAACTCAAAACTAAATTGGAAGAACAGCTGAACACGTTAGCCAACATACTTTGAAAGTGGCGAATGCGTCTGAGGCAATGTCGAAAGTGGACATCTCCACGTATCTGAAGAAGTCGTAAAACTGCTCTGACCACAGCGTGATTTTGGCCAGCGGTTCGTGTCTGATGCACTCCCTCAACATGATGCCGCAGTTCAGGGCAATCTCTGGAGACTCGTACCTGCAGAAACAACAACATGGGACAAAGACTCATCATGTAGGAGCATGACACACACACACAGGTTTTACGTCACAATGCTTTATAGAACCGGATTAGTAACCAAAATATTTCTGAATCCAAAACAAGAAAAAGTCTCAAAAGGACGACGGCTTGTGTGTGCGTCCTCGTACCCTTTCAGCAACATGAAGAGGATATTCTGCTGGGTGCAGAGGTACTCCACCGTGGGCGTCCGGGTGCCAATCTGCCGCCTCAGGATGTTGTTGAAGATTTGAGCCACATCTTTCTTACCCTGGAGGCCACAGATAAAGCAGACATGTATGAAGGAAATGGAATACAGAACACACAAAACTCAAAGGCTGGTTATAAAAACACAATTACAAACAACGTAAACAAAAATCAGTCAAATGTGTGCACAATTTAAATGTTGAATCACTTTCATACTTCTATGTGGCATCCATGTGATTTGCAATTCTTCACCATCCTCTTTTTTTTTGTACAGGCAGTAGAGATTAGAGGGTAAAAGAGGAAGAGCGCGCTGACACAACACAATGAGTCATGCGGTGATACGGTGAGTCAGGGAAGCCTGCAGCAGCAGTTATTACACTGACATATTGCAGGGAGACGCGAGTTTGCGCACATATCAGATGCGTACACTTTCAAGACGTATGCATGGTCTCGTAATACGTCTCACCTCAAAGTCGATGAGCTGGAGGTCTGCTATTAGCGTGCTGAGCAAGCCACTGTTGTAGAGCTCCTGGGCCAGCTGGGCCACTGCTTCCGTTTGAGGCTCTTTCTCATTCGTCCCGTACAGGATCTCCTTCATGGCCACCAGGCTTTTGGACACCTCTTCTGTGGCCTGGAACATATACACACACACATGCGTTACATCATTTCAGCCATCAGAAAGCTTCCAACTCCACTAAAAAAAAAGAGGGATGAAGTGAGTCGCCCTACCTTCTCGGCCTTTTTGTCAGAAATGTCGTGCTTCTCAAGCACGGTCATGCTGTCTTTGAGGTTCTTGACGATGTCTGCCGGCGACTTGTGGGACTTGCCAAAGGGGAAAGGCATGGCGGCGAGTTACCACGAGCAACCAGGCAGTGGGCTGTCCACCTAAATGAGTGGAACATGAAACGGGATTAGAGCAGACAAACAAAAACAACATTCGTGGCGTAGCAGGTGAGGAGGGGGATGACGGATATACAGCCAGTGACACATGAATCACAAGTCCAGCTGACGCAAACATGGCAACGATACCTGGGTAAAGGCTAAGAGAACAGATCTTAATGATAACACGCCACGAAAGGGTCAATCTGCTCTTCTTGCCAAACACAAGGGTTCAAATTTCATATTGACAACTTGTGTGGTTGGGTGACGTGTGATTTTAGATGGACGTTATGTGTTAATGTCCAATGTAAATTAACCACACTATTAAAGTGGCATCTTATTTTCTCAATGAATTCTCAGTAACGCAACCACTCCCCTTCTCGTATATTATTGCTCATGGGTTAAACATTAGACAGCTACTTAATGTTGCATTGTCCTGTTGCAATAACATTAAGACTTCGGCATCACTGTTGTGAATCACCAAGGCCAAAAGTAGTGCCATGTAACAGAGGTATTTCCTTTATTTTATACAGACATTTAAATGATGTTTAAACATACATTCATACGTGTTTAAAGATACATTCACACATGTACGCTGTGCCTTTTAATAGATGTACTTTCTACCTATATTGACAATGTATTTATTGCCCTAAAACAAGACACCTCTTCAGACTCTACCTTGACTAAAAACACTAACTAACCACTTTAATTGTACTTATGACTCTTATCTAAAGCAATTCAATGAAATTAATGCACTTTGTTTCTTGTTCTTCTGAGTTTGTATCCTTATGATTGAAATGCACTTATTGTAAGACGCTTTGGATAAAAGCGTCTGCTAAATGACGTGTAATGTAGGTCAAGTCAGCCAGCCAAGGGGATGTAAATAACGTGAATAAATGATTTACATCTGACCTTTAATGCCCGATGGAGAACAACTAAATGTTGTGAATCTTCCTGTTATTGTCAGTAAATGATTAACAATGTTAACTATCACACAGGTCTACCTGTACCACGACATGGCCTCAGCCCCTTTGTACGACCCCACCTCCCTCAACAGCAACCGGTCACACTAAACACACAACCTTTTGTCAGCAAATGAATTTAGGTAAATAAAACACACCCAGTGTCCTCACTACACAAAAACACTGAACCAGAGACGATGTTCGTATTCAACTGGCTTACAAGAAGCCTTATCTACACAACTCCCCGACCCACCCACCCACCTTACGTAAACCACGAGGCAAAAGACAAGGTTTTCGGAGCAAACAAAGTGAACCAGGGAAGACTCGGCTGTCACACAGCAGCAGACACAATCTGCACCTTTCTTCGTGTATATTGGGTGACGTAGAATAAACACCTGTTCCAAGAACCCAAGAGAGAAACGAGATCAGATCAATAAGGCTAAGCTCACTGCCGATACCGTGAGCGAGTCCTTTCTCTGTCTGCCACCGACCTGTTGTCCTGTCCAGTTCCTCCACTCTCTGATCACGAAGCGGTCACGCTGGTCCTCGTTTGGTCTCGACGGGGAGTCCGCATTTAGAAAGCAGCGCCGGGGCCGGGAATATAAACCGAGCAGCGAGTGGGAGGTGCAGCCTGATGTGTCATGTGTGACCGAGCGCAGTTATGAAACGTAACCGGGTCCACCGGGGGATCTAGCAGCGCGTTTACATCTTCATTAATCTGGACACACCTCGGTTTCGCCAGGTGGTCAGACCCGTCTGACGGGCAGACTAAGGCTCGTCGGAGCCGCAGCGCCGCGTCACCGACGCAAATAGGAGCTGAAACATATGGCCGGTTCAAAAAAAAAAAAAAAACAGCTGGTCGCCGCTAACCAGCAATGGCTCCCGTTACTAATCCGGTACCGTGTCTACTGTTCTTCTCCAGATTGCGACCTGCAGACATGGATACAAGAAGGTCCAAACCCCGCGGGTCGACTCTTTCTAAGGACACGATGCTCATGTTAGCCAGCCCTCGCATGCAGTTAGCAGGGGTCGTTAGAAGGAGGTCGTCTCACCAGGAAACACACGGCGTCAAAAAAAAGACAACAACTCCAGTCACCCGTCGGCCGAGACAGCAGATGCTCTGCTAGCACCTGCAAGTAGGCTAGCGTCATCTAGCTTATCCGCACGGCCACAGACTATTCCGACGCTGTTTCTACAGCGATCCAACGTCAATGTTGAGGCACATTGCGGGTTTACAACGTCGAACCCTGCGAGCTGTGCATCGTGAAGCCGACAGCGAGCACCGCCCCTCTTTGCCACCCATGCCTGGTTTGTGATGGTGAGAAGCCTGCCAACTTTGCGCAATGCTAACAAAATGGATACTTGCTCGCTTGACTAATTATGCAGCCGGCGAACGCAAGACAAGTCAGTGCGGAGTCTGCGACCCGCTGCACGGCCCGATTAGTATCCGGTTGTAAAATAACGAGGCGTGCGATATTTCAGCAACTGTCCACCGAACAACGGTGCTAACGCTGGTTAGCTTCTGGTGCGTCTCGACACACAGAAGGCCTCAGCGGGCCGAACGCGTACAGACAATTATGTAAATGAACTGCTTCAAATTAACGTTAGCTTTATTTTTTAAATTGCGTGTACAGAGGGAAGTACCATCAGTCAGCAATGTCAGAAATACACACGCAGGGTTTATTTTGGTAACGTAAAATACACAGCCATGCTAGCATAACGTTAGCCAGGAGGCTAACAGCTAGGTTCAGTTTAAACGTTTTTACTCGTCGAGGGCTTCCCAACAAGCTAACCAACGTTAGCAAATGTGGCTAACAAGTTACCGTGCGAGGCAACCGTTGTTAGCCAGCTATGGTAGCCTTACGCCACAATGCTTGCATACAGGAGTAACGTTAGTTCACACCAGCATAATGGAATATGTAGAAAAACGTTACCTTCTAAACGGCTCTAGTTTCCCCCGACTTTCCAAGACAACAACGGTCAACCTCGGATGCTCCTTGGAACAAACACGGCTTCGTTTTCCCTGCTCGCCGTCTCCTCTTGTATGCAACTTACTGTGGATAATCGTGCAGCCACCGTGCTTTCTTAGTTCTCTCTCTGAGCTCGACTGGTAACGTTTGCAGCGGAGCGGTTGTCGCCGAAACAACGTCTGCCGCCCCCTCTGGCCGTCCCGCGTCATGGCAGCAGCGGCCTCTACCGCCCCCTCTGGCCGTCCCGCGTCATGGCAGCAGCGGCCTCTACCGCCCCCTCTGGCCGTCCCGCGTCATGGCAGCCGCGGCCTCTACCGCCCCCTCTGGCCGTCCCGCGTCATGGCAGCAGCGGCCTCTACCGCCCCCTCTGGCCGTCCCGCGTCATGGCAGCCGCGGCCTGCGAGGATGGCAGGTGGCCGCACGAGGGCGCTCTCAGCTCGTGTAACCTTCAAAGAACGTGGAGAGCAGTGAAGTGTCATCACTTATTATAGTACGTAAGAGTGGACGTCATAGGCTACTGGTGTTTCCATTTTCTTTTACTTTATTGTTTAAGTCCAAAAGAAGTAAGAGAGAAATGTTGCACGTTTTACTTCACTAAAATTATCTAACTAACCACTCCAGATTAATGTTAAAAAAACATTAATTAAAGAAATAAAATAGATACGCCTAATTATATAAGAAAGTATGGTCAATTCGGGCCGCTTACGCTACTTGACATCATATTAACTCATTAATACTATACTGGTAAAATGTTACTAACATGGAAATGCATCCATAGGGAAATAAGAATCTAAAATGTGATATACACTCATAAGGGCCTTTTCTGCCTACTTGAAAAATGGGTTCAGCCAACCTATTACAGTAGAAGTTCATTTTGTATCATTGCTTGTTCAAGGTCTTATAAAACAGATCTGTCAAAGTCAACACGTCGCTATTCTGGATCATTTTGTTTATGTCACACAATACTTGAAGCAGCGTACGAGTGTTGTTAGGAAATGATTGAACTAAAATAACTAGCAGTTCTGCTCGAGGGGCGCATCCTCTCTGCTCATTGTGCACAGTACGACTGGCCTCATGTTTGATTTATGTCAATTCAATTCCGTCACATATGAACACAATAAACTGTAGTGTGCACTAGACCCGTCATAAGAACTTTTACGGTTTGTCATAAAATGATTGCTTCTAAGCAAATGTGTTTAGTGATTAGTGTCATTATTATTATTATTATTTCGGAATCAGGAGACCAGACCTGAGGTGTTTATCTCCATAAATCATTGATCGGAGTCCATTCCTGCAGAAACGGAACACACCTGGATACACCAGCAGTCATCCGGTTTGGTCATATCCAACCCCCGCCTCCTCCCTCCTCCTGGGCCGGACTGCCCCACCAGCTCTGGAGGTTATTACGCTCTTCATGCTGATTAGGTTTGAATGAAAGGCGGCTTTTGTTTGGCTCTGGTTCCCACGGCCTGGCAGTCGCGTGTCTGTAAAACAGGGGCCCTCGCGCGCGCTTGAAGGGACCTAAAGGTGGGGTGGGTGGGGGTGTGGGTGGGGGTGGGGGTGGGGCGGGCTGGTCACTCTGACATCTGCTCGCTAACAGTTAAGAGCAGATGTCTGACATTAGAAAACACGCAGAGGGATCACAGCCTTCTGCGAGACGTGAGGGTTGTCCTTTTATTTTTTTATATCAGAAGTGTCTTTGCTTGGTCCGACTCTCCTGCTGCAGCCGACCCAGGAAAGGAGCGTTCGATCAAAGAAAGAAGAACATGAACAAATAACAGAATCAGAACAATAACATTGAACTGATGAGAAGTATTGGCAACTAAAACAGATACAGCAATACGAATGATCAACTAAATTTAATCATAAGCTTAAAAAACTAGAGCAAGTATGATAATATTGTGCATGTAATCAGGAGTGATATTAATACATCACACGTTATTGCTATACACCGAAATGACCTTTCCTGGATGGGATTCATTGTGTTTGCAGAGGAAGTGTGAATTAATCCCTTCCAGTAATTTGTGAAGCCTTTAACTTTTTACCACGACTGTATCCTCCATACGGGCGCACCACCTTTCACGGGCTGAAATAAGAGTCATTTTGTCGGCCTTTTTGTGTCTTTTGAGAGACCTTTCCGCAGGTAAACAGTGTAATGTTGCTGCTGAGAAGAATAGGGGGGGCTCCTCGAAGGGAAGCACTGTAACTGCACACTGTTGTGCATCGCTGGGAGGAGAGGACCTGTAGGTTTTTGGTTTGGGGGGGCGTCGAGGGGCAGTGCGTGGTTTCAGGCTGGGACATCTGTCGCTTGTGAGTACCCCCCCTCCCCCTCTTTTTTCCTCCTCTAGGCCGGGTCTCTCGGCTACTGAATGGAGCCAGTGACCTGTCAGTCCTGACTGATGGGGACCCCGTGTGTGGGAAAGTCCCACGGCCGCAGAGCCGGGCGCATTCACATGCTAATTGCGCGCCGATAAAAAGGGGGCCGATCCGCGCCGAGGGCCCTAGAGAGACGCGCCGAGAGCTCCGGGTGGAGAGGAGGCGAAAAAAAGCGCGCACGGACACCCGGAGGCAGTGACATACAGAGAGCCATGACGGCTTCGTCCGTGGCGCACGGCGTGGGGAGACGCCCCGGTGCCAAGGAGGAGAGGAAGGTAATTCACACTCGGGTGTACCGTGGAACACCGCAGGGATCGTTAGGATCGTGCGCTCAGGTGCTCTACGACCCCCCCCCCCCCCCCCCCCTTCTTCTCCCCCTCCTTACAGCTGAGAAGCCGCTCATTGAGAAGGAAAACGACGCGAGAGAGATAAACAGCTGTTTGGATCAGCTGAAGGACACCGTGATCGGAGCGTTCAGACTCGATGTGAGTAGACCCCCCGCCCGGGTCTGGGCCCCTCTGGGGAAGTAAACAACGAGTAAACAACGAGTAAACAAGCGGAGTTCACTTCTAAAAGGGCCGCCCGTCTCTCCATAGCAATCCAAACTGGAAAAAGCCGACATTCTGGAGATGACAGTGAAGCACCTGCAGAACATCCAGAGCATTGAACTCAATGGTGAGGACCACGCGTGTGCTGTGGATTGTGTGTGCTACGTGTTAACGTTATTATATAATAATAACCGCTTCCATTCTTTGGCAAAATGTTATACAAAGCTAAATCTATATGGCTCAGTTCATTTCATGATATTATAGTTCCATAATTAATTCAGCAGCTATAAAGTTGATATCTCAGCAATATGTATACATCTATGTACGTCGATATATCTTTAAATATAGACATACGTGTGGTTTAGTAAAATTGCGTTAAAGTTTCATGGTCCAGCTTCCTGGCCGCGTGCTGTCACCCCCACCACCAGGAGCTGCTATAACTCCCCCCCTCCCCCTGTCCTCCCACAGAACCCACATTAGGCCTGGAGGTCCAGCAGAAATACAGCACGGGGTACATCCAGTGCGTGCACCAAGTGCACAACATGCTCCTCACCTGCGACTGGATGGACAAGAACCTGGGTTCCCGCCTGCTCAACCACCTGCTCAAGTCCCTGCCCAGGGCCACGGACGAGCGCCCCCTCCGGGCCTCGGCCGGGCGTGACGCCCCTCACCCCGGCACACCCCTCGGGGGAGGCCCCCTCGCTGGGAGGCAGCCCCAGAGGGAGGGTCCGACCTGTAATGTGGCCGCAGGCCAGGAGAGGCCAGCGCTCCGCGGCTGCCGCCTGGGGAGGCTGGAGATGTGGAGGCCCTGGTGAACTTGTTGGGTTATGTTGTTGTTGTTGTTGTTGTTGCTAGGCCATCCTCTGCTATGTATCTTATAGATATGCTGCTCAGAAGACAAACCGCGGGGCAGTTCTGTTCCAGTGAATATTATTGTGTGCTTTAATGATTCTCTACAGACCTTTTCTCAGTACTTCCCTTCAGAAGTTGACTTCTCGTAGCCTGCATTGTAGAAGGCTCTTATTAATCTTTCTTGTATTTATTGTATTAACAGCTTTATTTATTTTAAACCATAAAGCAAGAATTTTGCTACTTAGACCTGCACTTGGCATAGATGTTTATGTCTTCCTCCTTTGCTGTTAACCTATTAATAATAATAATAAAACTGATTTTATATGAGATGTCACTCAGTCTGGTTCATTTACAGCTGCCGTAACCAACAAACATGTTATTGTTTATATTTAAACGGACAGTGAATTTAGGCCCTCTTTCCCCTTTTTCAACGTGTCATAATAGGAAAACAGAGGAAACGCGACTCTGTTCCCCAAGTCGTGGTGTGAAGCGCACAATAAATGGAACTCAGCCGTCATTCTTCCACTTATACAAAGATGCTGCGGTTTAATGTTTGGTCGCACACACGTAAACAACAACTTTGTAAATGTTGGGTCCGGTTTTACGGCCGTTGTCTTCTGTTAAAAGGGTTAGTGCACCCAAATCATGAAGCAACATATTTTCTCACTTACATCGGTTTTTCTGAAGTGCAGCTATAAAATTAAAAATTGTTTTCCACATTCCAGTGACTCACTTAAACACCTCCAGAGTACTTCTACATTTTGTTTCCAGATATTTTAAATATGGAGCCCTCCTTTTCCATGTAAAATACTCTATTTGGTTCATATATATATATATATGATCTATATATATATATATATATATATATATATGATCTATATATATATATATATATATGATCTATATATATATATATATGATCTATATATATATATATATGATCTATATATATATATATATATATATATGATCTATATATATATATATATATATGATCTATATGTATATATATATATATATATATATATATATATGTGGGTCCATCCATCCTTTCATATTATGTAATTTAGAAGACAAGAGGCCCATTATCTAGATTGCCCCAAATGAATAAGGGATGTGACAGCTGGGTTGTGTAGTTGTGTAGTTGTTGCTTCATTTGGTCTCAGTGGGGTTTGAAGGCATCCCACAAACGACGGAACGACGCACTAAAAGTGCTCGAATGGTCCGGCTCGTGATTCATCAGTTGGTTTTGAACAGTGCAGGCGTGCATATGGCGCTTTCTCCCGCTATTATTGCCGTTATGATTGACCGCCACATGGCGCTGCAGGCGGTGGGTCTGAAGAAAAGGGGGGGGGGGGGGGGCAGGGTCCCTCAGCGGAGCTCACCAACAAAAGCGAGCCCAGACAGCTGCTCCCCTCCACAGTCCACACCATTAGAGATCTGGAACAGGGACCTGAGGCGTGGAGAGGTGCCAAAAAAAAAAAACTCCACTTGAAAAGGTCTGAAACCCCTTCGTTTAGGGGACACTTTGTGGCCCTACTCGTGTTTGTTTGCTTACCGCGCGTAAACACCATTACACGTACCTGGAAGGTGGCACATGCGCATGCGGGCGTGGCCCTTGTTATTATGTGTGCACACAACTGCGCTATTGTGAGCGGGCTCATTTGCATGATAATGCCGTGTACAAAACGTGTATAATACAACGTGCGCAGAGGGTTGGGCGCTCTTACTGAACATAAACAAATACATGTGCGCGTAAAGGACTCAACTGCCAAAAATGTCCCGAGACCACAATAACCAGCACCAACTCCTGCGCCACGGCCCACTGGATTGCGGCGACGCAATCTGAATTGCTGTTCCACATACAGCACGTTTTAGCAGCGGACACAATCAAACAAGATATTAACCAACTGTCGCGTGCAGCAGAGCACGCAGCGTGGGGAATGCATCTGCGCACAAATCAGAAGTCACCGAGCAAACGGAGAACAAACGAGGCGCAGGGGCAACACCTGTCGCTTTCTTTGGAGAAGGGCCCTTAATTCCCCCGGATGATTCAGTTTGGGGGCCGCCGCCGCCAGCAGCGGCAGCAGCAGCAGCAGCAGCTGCCAACTGAAGGCATCGCGTTACATGCGAGAAAAAAAAAAAACACACAACAGAAGGAAAAAAAAAAAAAAAAAGTCTGCAGAGGATCGGACACGATCGCCGTGCAGAACGAGGAACGGGGTCGGGCGTTAAAAGGAGAGGGAGCAGTGGCACGTGCAGGAGGCTATATACATAAATATAAATATATGTATATATATATATATATATATATATATATATAAATAAAAATAAATAAATAAATATATGTGTATATATATATAAATATATATATATAAATATATATATATATATATATATATTTATATGTATATACATATTTATTTATATTGTATAGCTGTTAAATAACTATACAATTCTTATATCATATATTATAATTTGTGTTTATTGTTTGTACCGTGTCTGGACCACATGTCAAATTCGAGTCCGTTGCATTTAAATGTGATTCTGACTCGGATATTTTCATTATGGATTCGCTGGAGTTTAAAAAAAAAAAACCGTGCGGTCGGTGCCGTGACACAGCAAACTGTATTTAAAGCCCGTCCAGCTCCTCGGGGTGCGGACCGGGGACAAAGGGGGCGGCCGCTCATTGGCTGCGGCCGTGTGCGCTCCGTCGCCCCGCCCCGCCCCCCCAGCGCGAAGCAGCCCGTCTCCATTCACATGTTAATTAGCCCCTATAAATACTAACAACAGCCCCTCAGCGGCGGCAGCGCGTCTCCCCAGGACTGCAGGACAAACACCGGGCGCGGCGCCTGTGAGTTTTTGTGGAAATCCTCCTGTTTTTTTTCTTCCTTTCTTTGGTTCTGTAACCGGTGCCGTTTGCCAGCAGCCGCGTTCACTGACGGAATAAAGCGAGACAGCAGCGGGAGAAGCCACTGAAGCGGCGATCCGACCAACATGGCCCCCTCGGCTCGGCCCGGCGGCACCGGACTGGAGATGGAGGAAGAAGACTCGTACTACGGGATCCAGCGAGGGGACAGAAAGGTACACCGGCCCCTCCATTGGGCGCACCGGGCAAGTGACGCGCGCGGCCGCGCCGGTGACCGGCCGTCCGAGTGTCCGCAATTGGACAGCGCGTGCGCTCTTTAACGGTTAACCGTCGCCGCGCGGCGAGACATAAACAACGGCGCTGTGTCCACGGGTGAGTTTCCGCGTCACTCACCGACTCCTCGTGTGTCCCCGCAGACCCGCAAACCGCTGGTGGAGAAGAAGAGGCGAGCTCGCATCAACGAGAGTCTGCAGGAGCTGCGGACCCTGCTGGTGGACACGGACGTGAGTGTGCACCGTCAGCTCACCTGCCGCCCCCCCCACCCACACACACACACACACACATTGCATGCTGGGTTAGGATTTTGGGGGCCTGATTGCAGATTTGCTGGTTGTTCCCAACAGTTTCATTCCAAGATGGAAAACGCGGAGGTGCTGGAGATGACGGTGAAGAAGGTGGAGGATGTACTGAAGAGCCGAACCCAAGGTCTGCACGAGTCTCCACCGGCGCCCTTTAATACCAAGTACTAAGCAGCCGTAAGATCCCTGCCCATTGAGGGTTGCATCCTGAAGACTGGAATACTTTTGACAGCTTAAAGGTCAGGGGTCAATAACTTTGACGGATGAGGAGAGGAGATGTTTGTGATACGTTTAGCTACTTCAGGACTGGAAACCAATTGTGGGTGCACCAGTCACAAGTAGTGCGCACATGACAAGGAGCCTCGGGACGGTATCTTTGAATGCAGGAATCACGAGACAAAGAGACACCTCTGATTTCGTGGTATTTAAACAATTCGTTTGATCTGATTGCTCACCGCTGAGGCACCTTACTGAAGGTGACTGGACTCAACTGGAACATGGTCTCACAGTCTTTCCCTCCCTCCTTCCTTCCACAGAAACGGACGCACTGGGCCGAGAAGCCAGCGAGAGGTTCGCGGCGGGCTACATCCAGTGCATGCACGAGGTCCACACGTTCGTGTCCGGCTGTCCCGGCATCGACCCCACGGTGGCGGCGGAGCTCCTCAACCACCTCCTGGAGTGCATGCCCCTGAACGAGGACCACCTCCAGGACGTGCTGATGGACCTGATCACTGACACTTCCGGGAGCCCCGGCGGCGCCTGGCACGGGGGCGACGAGTCGATGTGCTCGAGCCCGGCCTCGCCCGGAGGAAGGAGCCTGTGCGGCGGCTCGTCCCCGTCCTCCAGCGCGTCCAGCGAGGACCTCTGCTCCGACCTGGACGAGACCGACAGCGAGCACAACCAGAGCTCCACCGAGGCCTCGGAGAACAGAGAGGCCCTGTGCATGCCCACCGGGACCTACCCCAGGTCCATGTGGAGACCCTGGTAGGTCTCTGGGGGGGGGGGGGGGGTTACGCCCTGCCGACAACAGACCACATGGATTTTTTTCTGGATTCGCCACGTTGATGTTGAGTAATCAAACCTGCTCTGTGATACGCAGGGTATCCTGGGGCCCGGGGACGTTCCGTGGAGGGGCCCAGGCTTTTCTCTTCTCCCACAACTGAATGAGGAAAGTTTAAATCCTGTCTTTGGCCTTCTAGGAAGACGTCCCCTCAGTAGAAATTCACTTCTCAAGTGGTAAAGGTCGGAGTTTTCCTTTATCCCCTAAAAGGGGCCCTTCCTCTGAAGCCCCCCCCCCTCCCTCCGAGCTGTGGGTCCTGCTGAAAGTACAGGGTCATCTGTTGTGACTCTTCTTTCCACCTGAAGAGAGACGAAAACCTTCTCTCAACATTCACTTATAACCCAACAAAGGACAAACGAGGAGCGGCTCAAGTTCACACTCTGATTTTGTGCCAGTAACTCCGTGTAAATAGGATTTGTATGTGGAGAAAAGCTCTTTTAGAAACCCGAGAAGTTTGGCTAAGCCTCTGATTAATATAAATATTTCTATTATATTTCATGAAGGCCTGTAGTTTATCGGACCAGTAGTCTCGTTCAAAATGACCACTTTACGTTTGTGATGTTTAGGAATTAAAGTAAAATGTCTGAATTTTGCTTAATAAAATTATGTATTTGAAAAGCTTTTGCCTGATTGACTCGATGCTAAGAACTTGTATGAAAATGATACGGTTGATAGTCTTAAATTAGGACGAAAGACTAACATACTTTTTCACAATCTGTTCCAAGTGAAAGCTTGGATTAAAAAAAAAACCTTTTCTACACAAGATGACCCTTTGACCTTTGAACCCTACAGGATTAATGGTCTTCTTTGGATAAGACAAACATTAAAATACACTCATGTAAGATCATAACCCTCACGTTATGGTCCCCTTCTCCCCGCGGGGGACGAGCCTGTGCGTGCGTGCGTGCGTGCGTGCGCGCGCGCACATGAAAGAGTCGCACCTCCACCAGCGTGTCGTCGCTCTCACCTCCGACACAATGTGCGCGCTCACAGAGGGCCGTTAGATCCGGTGCGGACCGGCTTCCAGCCCACTGACGAGCTCCTGAGACGCGACACGAAGCGAAAGAGAAACCACGTGAAGGGAAACGCAAAACCACGCAGAGCCGCTTCTGGCATCAACGCGACTTCGTGTCTGTTGTCAGACGACCCTGCGGTCTAGAAGGAATAAGGAACAGAGCCGGGGGGGGGGGGGGGGTGGGAGTGGAGGTGGAGGTGGGTGGGGTTCACGCGCTGGACCTTTGGTGTGAACGTCGGAGGAGACACATTGAAATGGGAGCGGACGAGACACGCTGATCAAAGCCGTCCGACGGAGGAGCGTCAAAGCGCGCACAGCTGAAAGAGACACCACAAAGGGGACGAGCAGGCTCGGGTTCTTCAAAGGGACGCGCACGCACACACACACACACACACACACGCACGGTCTCCTGACGGACACTTGATCATCAAGAGACGCACGCAGGCTGGAGGAGGAAGTGACGGGACAGTGAGGAGAATGTGAACTACTTCACCTACGAGTCACACAATAAAGTGCAGGAAATACTGAAGTTTTATTGGCCCAGATTATATGAGCATGAACACTTTTTTATGCATATTTATATATTCAACAAGGATGCATATTTTACAAGCCTCAGATACCTGATACGTTTCAGAAAACAATAACTACCGTAAAGGTTTGATTGTGTAACTGCAGGAGAGATCTTGAGGCTCACGTCCATGAGCATCCAACTGCCCCGAACGTCAGCACGGCCTGGAGAACTCGACAAAGACAGGCGACCGGCGGAGAACAGGACAGCAGGGAGCGCCGCTCAGCTGCGTGCTTTGTGAGCATGCTTATGAATTCTGCAGGTCAAAGGTCGAGGGGGGGGGGGGGCGCAACAGTTGGCGTGAGAGGGATCCAACGGCGGAGGCGAGGCATATGGCGCTGAAACAAATCCCTGGGGGGGGGGACGCCGTCACGCCCTTTGAGCTACATCACTTTCTTTTGGAGCGCCGGACAAATCGCAGTAAAGTAGTTTCTTTCCGCTCATGATACTTACTGATGTCCGACCCCCACACATTGAGCAGCAAGGAGAAGTCGCAGCACTTATATTTCTGTTCTTTTATTACGTTGTTTTTCATACAGTACAGTTGTTAACCACAGCACAGACTCGTACAGCGGCAGTGAAAGAAAATGCACACGACCAGACGCGACGTCACGTGCGAGTACCAGCAGCCCACCGCCGCGTAAACTCATCTGACGCTGGATTCTCAAGGCCCCGTGAGAAAGTGAGGCAACGTAAAGACATTCTCCGGCTTATCCTGTGCGTTCGTTCGGGCAGAGACAAAAAGGTGGAGACGGGCGCCTGTCGTCTCCGTGCGTTTGTCCACAAACCGCCGGCAGGCTAAGGCCGAGACTCGCTGCACGTCACTCGGCGTCTTACGTATCGGACCGCCGGCCACAACCCCCCCACACGCGCACACACACAAGAAACAAATACAAAATGAATAGAAAAATACAGGAAAGGAAAAAACTTAAATAAGTCAAAACAAACACTGCCGTTGAGATGCTTGAGAGTCCGGTGGTACGCGTTACATTCACGAGCCCCCCCTCAGTAGGTTCTCCCGTTGTTTACATCAAACTACATGTTTCCTTAATACTTCATGCCGGGGGGGGGGCTGCATGGGGCCTGATCCGCGCACGTCACCGCTTCCGGCGTAACCCAGGTCTCTGCAGAGGGTTAATTAGGCCACCTGGTTGCCTTTTATGCTACAATTGAAATGCAGTTTGCCCCCCGCTGTGTTCCCCCCCCCCCGTAGTGCTGAATGCACCGCTTAAACATCCCTTTCACAACACTGTCGTTGACCAACATCTAAGAAAATCCACACTGATTACTGGCTGCACAAAGACAGAATCATTATCTTACTGCATACTTTGTTGAGGTGAAAGGAAACGGCTGTTTGAAAAAGAGTAACTGACCTTGATTGTCAAGCAGAAAGGTTTAACCCCTCTCACTTCACTCAGGTATCAGTTTCCTGCTGCTTCCATGGAACAGGAAGTATTCCAGCAGCTTCGTCATTGGCGATGACGCACACTTGTTCGTAGCACCTGTGGCGTTTTTAAGGTCTGCAGAGGCCGACAACACGTCGAGGTTATTCTGTGAAAACGCACTCGCTGACTCCACGCCGGATTTGTCAAAGCGAGCTGTGGATCAAAGTGCTGAATATTTGGCTTTAGCTTCAAACAATCTATTCTAGATATATTATCCGGTAGAAAATAAATACGATGTCATTCTGTTGGCTGTGGAGTCGACGATGCAGAAGCTGTGGGGGGGTAAGAAAACTCTTCCGCGATACAAAAGTGGGGGTCGGGGTCACATCGTCCACTGTGCACCGCAGGTATTACATACAAGAAGCAGGTTTCAGGGTCTTCAATGACACTATGTCGCAAACAAGAAAACACAAACATGAAAACAAATCGGTGTCAAATTGATTTGACATCTAATGTATTCATCAGATGTTTGTGACACAACCATTATGTATTAAATAGAATAAATACTGCTGCTGTTGCAGTGAAGCTCCACCTCTTTTAAAGAGACGTTGAACAATAAAAATCATCTGGAGGAATAAAAAGTCATCAATGACCGGATCCTTTTCGGTGTGTGTGTGTGTGTGTGTGTGTGTGAGCTGGCAGAAGTGCTATACGAGTGTCAGGCTTACAGAAACCCTCATGAAGTGTTACTGCCCCCTCAGGGGGCAGATTGAGAACTGCACATCAGCAGCAGTCCCTCTGCACAACTAGCACACATGAACACACCAGCAGCACACAACCTGTGTGTGTGTGTGTGTGTGTGTGTGTGTGTGTTCAGGAGCCGGCGTCTGGTTGAGGTGGAGACGCCTCTGATTGGCTGTGGCCGGTTGGGCCCTCGCGGCTCAGCTCCTGGCCGAGCTCCCCCATGTCCATGTGTGGCAGGTTCTCCTCGACGGGGGCCGGCGCCGCGTCCTCGCAGTACACGCACTCCTGGAACACACACACAGCAGGCGGGACGTTAAACACACACAGATCGGACTCATCTCTCCGTGAACATGCGTGAATTAACTTTTGTTTCAGATGCACAGCGAGTGTGTGCTCCTGACCTTCACATCGATGGCAGCCGGCAGACCCCGCCCCCTCATCCAGGGGTGCTCCTCCACCAGCTCTCGCCGCTGGTCGAAGGAGAAGTGAGGCTGGCTCTTCTGCATCTGCCTCAGCCTCTCCTTGTCTTCTCGCAGAACCCTCCGAATGTCCCTGAAGGGCCACAAGAAACGAACATCTGTAATCAGTCACAAAGAAAGAGTGAAAAAAAAAGAAGCCCCCTGATGTTTGTGGTAACTTACCTGGGCGGCATCTGATACGTCATCATGACCTTCTCGTCAGCGTTGGCCATCACCAGCCAGAGGGGCTCCTGGAGGAGGTATTTGATGAAAGTCTCTCCGTCGGGTTCCAGGGAGTCCATGCTGCCGAAGTACTTGCTTGTGTTGCTGCTTCCTGTCCAGCGTATCAGAGGGAAGCACATTTTTAGTATTTAGTGCATTTACAGTATAAAGGAAACTCAGAATACCAATCGGAACCACCATTCAGTAGCTTACATCAAGGTTAAGTTCACATCTGGACTGACCTGTTCCGCTGCCAGAAGCTCCACCCGCTGAGCCCGACCCGGAGCCAGTGGAGGAGGAGGTGGCCGATCCGGTCGCGGAGCGGGAGTCCTCCTGCAGCAGGATGTCCAGCAAGTCGCAGGATGAGGAGTCGCTTTGAGCGCCGTCTCCGGGAGCCTGAAGCAAGAGGCGGCGGGCCGTCAGCTTCACGCGGACGGGTTGAGCGTCTGAGGTCGAGGACATGCATTCACTCATCACGCATTGTGACCCTCACCTGTTGGTGGTTCCCGGTCTCCCTCCCCGCTGCCGCAGCTGCCCCTGAGCGGGCGGCGCCGTCCTGCCGCTCCACCGAGCGCTGCCCCTCCTCCATGCTCAGCAGATTTAGCTGCAGTGGCGAGCTGCACCGCGACTCAAACAGCGGCGGCGACGCGGTCGGCTCCCGCGCTCCCGGACCCGGCGTGGACGGGCGTGACGCCGCCGCCGCCTCTCTAAGCTCCGCCGTGGATGCGGGTGGCCCGCCGGCCAGGCTGCGAGGGGCCTGAGTCAAAAACTGGTTCTGCGGCGGGAAAGATGGCTGCGCAGCAAACGGCGGCTGAGGAGCGTAGGCTGCCTGAGGGAAAGAGTGGGGGGCACTGTAGGGGGTCAGGCCGGCTTGGAATGGCTGGGGGGCACTGAAGAGGGGGTGGGGGGTAAAGGCGGTCTGCGCGGGGAACGGCGGTTGCGCCGTGTAGGGGGGCTGTGTTTGCACAGCGAAGGCCGGCTGCGGGGGCTGAGCGGCGTACGCGGGCTGGGTCTGGCTCTGCTCCGGGTAAAAGGCCGGCCTGGGAGCAGCCCCCAGCGGCCCAATGTGACCCAACTGTCCCATTTGGGTCAAGAGGTAATTGGGCAGCACCAGAGCCACCACGGGTGCGACAATGGGTGCAGCTAACGGAGCGGCGGCAGGCGGGGCTTGGCCGCTCGGTCCCTCTCCAAAGCCTGTGAAGGGGGAGGGGTCAGGACAGGGGGCCTGAGCTGAGGCTGCAGGTGCAGGGGGGGTAGAGCGGGTAGGCGGGCACCGCGGCCGGGTAGGAGACGTTAAAACCCGACTGGGACGCCTCCGACGGGGACCACGAGGTCTGGTTGAGGCCCTGGAGGGGGGGCCCCGGCCTGCGGTCGGATGCGGCGCTGTCTGACGAGTCGGGATGCTTCACCCGCGGCTTCTTGGACTTCCTGTTTCGGCTGCCTCTCCTGGCGGGCGCCTCGGCCCTGGTGGCGCCCAGTTTGGTCGCACGCCGCAGCCCAGACGGTCCTGAGGTGAAGACGCGGAGGAGTCAAGAGGGTCGTTTCACCAGATGCGTTATGTCCACAATCTCCATTTTAGTCTGTACCGTTAAACGTGTACCTGCAGCGCTGGCCGGACCGCCCTGCTTGTGCAGGTGGGTGAAGCAGTCCTCCTGGAGGCTCCTGGCGTTGTGGAGGAAGGCCTGCTCCTCTTTCTGGGTGTGCGCGGCCAGCACCTGCTTGGTCAGTCCCAGACGCTTGTAGGCCTCCTCCTCCTGGCTGGTCGGGGACACCGCGCTGACCTGCAGCGCCGGGGGCGCGGGGCTCTCCGCCACGTCCTCCATAATCTCTGCAGGGACGAATCGGAGCCATGAGCGTCGGTGACAAGCGCTTTCGTGCCGCCGGCGTCCTTCGCGTGGCACTCACCAGACTCGGGCTGAGGCTTCTTGTCTCCCACGTGGACGATGGTGCTGCTGTAGCTGCACTGCGAGGTGACGGACACCACGCTCGCCGCCTTGCTGGGCGGCGCCAGCGGGCCTCCAGGGCGCTTTCGTGTTCGGCGGGCCCGGCTGTGCGTGCAGCGTTACAGACTCTGCGAGGGGAAACAGCAATGCTCCGTTAGCTTCAGTTGAGCAGCAGCACCGAAGAGAATAAACGATGCACGGCGTGCACGTGCCTTGGCTTGTGTCCCGAGACACCTGCATGCAGTCCTCAGAGCCCTTCTTTTCGTCGTCCGAGTTGGAGGAGGTGGTGTTGTTGTTGGAGAACTGGTACTTCCTCTTCGCTGTGATGGGGACGTTACAGCCTTCCAGGTACCTGAGAAACCAAAACAGGTTTGATCAGAGGTGCACGGTTCACACACACACACACACACACACACACCGCTGAGTCTTACCTGATGACGCTGTCGAGGCAGCTGATCTGCTGGTAGGAGCAGACAGTCTGGTCCTCCACGCTGGCTGCAGTACTGTCTCTGACCTGCAGAGGCGGCGCAGAGTCTTTCAGGCGCATCGTTAGAGCTGCGAAAACAAAGACAGGAAGGTAAACACACGTAAAAGAATGCAAACATACTTTCTGATTGATTTTTACTTCACTTTTCATCATACTCGACTGGCGCTAAAATAACTTCCCTTTAATTCTAATAGTAATAGCAGATCCCTCTGATTATTATTATTATAATTATCTTCTTTTGCGTTCTATGTCAATTCACAAAATGTGCATTATTATTATTACTACTATTATGTGCACTATTTCTACCAATGTCATAAAGCCCTCTGAGACAAATAATTGAATAATAATAATTAATAATTCAATTCAGTGTGATCTGCCCCTTCAGCCTCCTGGCTGACACCGTTTCATAAACCGATCAGTTTAGTGATATGAATCTAAACTCACTGTCAGCGCTCCTCCTCTGCTCAGGCTTGGATGGCGACGGCGGGAGAGGCGGGGAGCGCGGGGCCCCCTGGGAGTCCTGGTTCTTCAGCATGTGGACCCCTTTACAGATCTCCTGGAAGGTCCTGGGAGGCTTGGCCTTGTTGGCCTTGTTGGCCTCCTCCGCCGTGGTCGCGTTGCTCTCGCTGGACGAGCTGATGCTCACCAGCGGCTCGCGGGAAGCGTTGCTGCCGTAACCGCTGGAGCCCAAGTGGTGGACCGGCTAAAGAGAGAGACGAGTGTTTGTAAAAACGGACAAACCGCTTCTACGTAAACGTGTATTTGAGTGAGCGTCTAGTGTGTGCGTGTGTGTGTGTGTACACACATACTTGGAGAAGCAGCCTGTGGATCTTTTCACTCATTTCCTGGATGTCGGAGTCCACGATCTTCCCCCCGTGAAAAGCCGGCGCTGCAAAAACATCTTCATTCACGGGACCCCTGAAGGACACCAGCAACGTTTAAGCTGACGCTCAATCCCCACAGCGTAGCTGGTGGAACATTTCGGGCGCACTCACATGCGGACTTTGTGCCTGCCGATGACGAAGGAGACCTTGCGGCTCCAGGGGTTGACGAAGCTGGACCAGCTGGTGTCGATGGTGACGTACTCGCCGTTCCTGGCGCAGAAGCGGACGGAGGAGTGATCGAAGGGCTGCCCGACGTACTGCAGAACTGTCGGCAGCAGAAGGACGAGTGTGTGTGTGAGTGACGGCTGAGTAAAAGAGAACAGTTTAAAGCAACAAGCAAACTATTGGATTACTTTCATCAAGAGGTTACTGGATTCTTATCGTGTTTCTTGCTCTTTCTAATAATAGTAATAATAATCCTGTAGTGACTTCCGGCCATCACTGCTCTTCCCTTGATGACCACTTACTTTTCCGATGCACAGCCAGCATCAAGGGGCGGTCGCTTGGGTGCAGATTGAGCAGCACGGGGGTCCCGATCAGGTCCTGAGGCAGGTAACCCAGCAATGGAACAGCCCTGATGGAACAGCAACATGTTAATCTCAATTACATGCATTTTGTGTGTGTGTGTGTGTGTGTGTTCAGTGTGTGTGTGGGGAGGCTCCGTCCGCTCACCTCTCATCCACATCCTGGAACACACAGTTTGGTGTGTGTGTGGTGGTAAAGATGCGCTTGTCAGTGGGGATTCTGGGTGCTGTGGAAGAAAAAGCTAAAAAGATGAGTGGGACAAATGAGCAGATGGCGAAGAGTAAACGCGCAGAGATTAAAGGTCTGTGGCGTCAATAAGAACACACAGAAGGAGCCTCACCCTCGTAAGCAGAGTGCACCCGCTCGGCCAGCAGGAGGCAGCAGAACTGTTCCTCCCCCAGCTCAGCATCCTGGACTTTCATCAGGTAGGGAGTCATGCGGAAAGGGTAGTACTGCAGGTGTCCAGCACGCTCCTTTCCACCACTAAAAGAAGGATTTTGAAGCATATATATATATATGAGATCCTGTAATGAACCGTAGCTGTAATACTCCATCTGGCCACTAGATGAAGACACAGTGTAAGAGCTCTCAGCTGCTGAATATCTCCCTCCTCCCCCCGCTGACTCAGTGCTCCTTTGAGGATGAAACGATGGATCAGACACGCCGGCTGCCCCTCACCTGATGCGGCAGAAGAAGGATTTCTCCTGCATGCACTTCGTGGGAGACGAATCTGAAGAAGAGACGGTGAGATAAAAATAGATCATATATATATATATATATATATATATACCAAATATATATATATACATATACCAAATCTACTACAGTAGTTTAAAGGGGACAGACAATGGAAAAGCAGTAAAGGGACAACCAGATAGAAAAGGTGATCAGAATTGGATCTTTGAGCTTTACATCTGTTTTCTTTGCGTTTCTAATTCTCAGCTCCTGACTGAGCCAATATGCAATTATGCATCCAGCATCCACGTGGCAGGTGTGAGTGAGCGGTCGTGCATTCATTAAATATGTGCTATGTGTGCATGAGCACGTGAAGGTCGTCTCCACGTGTCCTGTGGGGTTTGTGGTCCATGTCGGCCCAGTTATGCACCACCATTGACCTTACTGGTTGGGATGGAGTGGGAGCGGGGGGGGGGGTTCAGTTTGCATGGCGACAGCTCTGGGCGGCTACCTGCTCCGGTGCACATGCTCCAGGAGGGCAGGCGGTACGGCGCGGTGAAGCTGTAGAACACGCTGACGTCCTGCGGCGCCAGGAACTCCACGAACGTGGCGTTTTTAAACACCTGCCGCTTGCAGTTCAAGATGGAGGCCGCCTGCTCCGAGATGTAAACTATTTTCCCCGTGACGAGCGAGACGGCTACGGCGAAAACATCCTGCGGACAAAAAGATTCAACAAAAAGAATAGACGGAAGAGAGTCGGTTGGTTATCCGTCGCTCTTATTACAGAGGTGTATCCTCTAGGAGTGCGTGTGTTGTCGAGACAAACGGAAGCCGACTGGTTTAATCAGATTACATCAAATCTCAGTTTTTCCGAGCGCTTCTTGCGCAACAAAAATCATAATACGACGCAACTTTTAACGCCACACCCACGTTGTGATGAAACAGGCACTTACATTGTTTTTAAGGGTGTATTCAGAGGTGATGCTGTTGATTTCCTGGATGGTGTAGGATGAGACGTCAAACCCCGGCGGCTGGCTGCTGATCTTCAGCATCTGATAGTACTCCTCATTAGCTGGAAGTAGAAATGTGTGAATATTACTCTCATAAACATCATTTTTTTGGGGGTGCAGTCACAACAACAAGTTTGGAGAATATGATTCAGAATTTATAACATGTGAAACTATTTAAGACAAATATCTCTTTGTTTGCATACGTAACAGTAGCTGAAGTACACAAACTACAACGTGAACCAAAGCGAGGCAGAGGAGAGCTGCTTTGTCTCACCTTTCACCTGTTTGACACAGCGCAGCGCGTATTTCAGCGCGTTCACCGTGCTGGGTTTCCCTTTGCTCCGCTTCTCCGCCGGCTGCTGCATCTTCAGCTCCTTGAGCGTCTTGAAAAGCTCCTTCTGTGTCCTAGCTTTGGCCGACAGCTCGCTGCTGCAGGGCGAACATGAGACGGATACACGCGTGTCAACATGACCGGTTCTCACCCCGAGAAGCTTGTCTGCAGGGGGGGGGGTGGTAAAGCAATGGGATGCATGCTTCTAAAAGCTCATTTCACTGGGAGGGATGAATAAATGAGTGAACCACTAGTCAGAGTGAGAGTTCTACAGAGCCAGTGAAGAGAAAAGCTCAGCTGAACGATTCGCGGCGTGTTTTGAGAGAAGGATCCAATCAAATGAGACTTTGGGGCGACCAGCAGGCAAACAAGAGCTTTAAAAGCCGCCTGATCTTTCTTGAATTTGCTTTAAATCTGTTTCACGGCAACGAACCGAAGCAAAAAGATGCTCCAACCTTTTCGCTTCACTGGGAGTAAAAGAAAGACAGAAGGATGAAGGAGGCTGATTCACCTGCAGCCGCTGGTGGACGGGTTGTCCTGCTCGCAGCTCACCAGGCTGAAGGCGTTGGAGCTGCTCGGCGGCGACGAGCTGTGAGAGTTTGAGCTGCGGCCACAAACAACATGTTACTGGACGGAGCAACAAAGCCTGTTAAAACCGCCGACTCGTCATCAGTACAAACAGCAGCTGTTCCTGGATCCGGAAAATGTGTCTCTTTAGAATTATTTTTGCTGTTACAATGCTACAATGAACCAAATGTATCTACAGGAAGGCCTCGAAATCACCACGATTTCTACTGTATTTCATGTAGGAGGGGCTTATTTACCCACAACATCCCACAACAACCCACAACATCTGTCCTACGATGTAGGACAGATGTTGTGGAAATAAAAAAAAGGAAATAAAAAGTATTTTCTGGATGAAATTGTTCTTTCCTCCGTCTGAAGCTGCTGGACTGCAACAGTGACTCACGCCAGAAAACGACCCGCGTGTTACGTTTAATCGACCTCATTTCCGTGGCCTACATGGGGCGCGCTGTTTATTCTCTTCATATCGGCCCTCACCTCTTGTTGCTCCCCGAGGACTGGAGGCCGGAGTCCTTGCCGTTGCCGCTCGAGCCGCCTACAGACCCGTTGCCGTGGGACTCCATGTCCACGTCCTCGGGAAGCGGGCGAGGCCGCTTCCTCTCCCCCCGGCTGCCGTCGCTCCCACCGGAGCCTGATCCCAACTCGGCCTTTTGGTGACAGTTGGCCGCGCGGTGGCGTTGGCCGCCGGCGCCGCGGGGGAAGCCTCCCTTTGCCTCAAGCCCCTCCAGGGCCGAGAACAGGATCTGCTCAGGTTCACTTTCCTCCGACATGGCGCCGACCAGGAGGCCGAAGATGGGCGATTACGTTACGCCAAGGAGCTCATGCCACCAGCAGGTAAAAGGAGTTGCTGCCTGTCTGAAAACAAAAACGCAGGGGAAGACACTCAGCAAAGCCGTCTCCAGGTGGACCGAACCCTCCGTGTTTGATCCGCTTCAAGCTTCCACCGTTTGAAAACTGCGTCCGTAGAGCTGAAACAGGGAACGCACACACAGAGACCCTCCGCCTCGCACAAACCTTCAGGACTGATGGCAACAAAAGCCTTGGAAACCATTCCTGCTCTTGCAGTCGTCTCCCGTAGCAACCGCCTACAGAGGAGGAGAAACCGACAACTAATCTCCTTTCACATACAACAACATTATGATGATCGGCGAGGACGCACAAAAAGATCAAGTGAACAGAGCCTTGCGTAACAAAGTGCAGCTGAATCGACAAAAAGCCTCACGTAGCGTTTTGGCCACGTTCAATGATGTCACCTCAAATTAAGATTAACAACCGGCAAAGCAAACCGGCAAAGCAACGTGAGCATCCACAGGGTCCATAACGGCGTCCGTCTGGCTAAACTCACATTAAATAAGACGTTCCTCATCCCCCTCCGCTGCAGACCAGCAGCGGTTGGAGACAGGAATGGGAAAGCCTCACCCACACATCCAGTGCCACCTTCCAGAAAATGACCCAGTTCAGCCCAGACGGGGGCCGGCCTCCCATTGGCCGCTGCCAACCACCCATCGGGAGAGAGCGAGTGAGTGACAACAGGTCAGAGCGTCAGGAGGGCACCCGGGGCTGAACACGGGTCAGAATTACGTACATCTAACACACACGTCATAACGCTGACGTGTAGCACTGACAAATACTGAACTGAACACGACGGGGCCTCCAGCGAGAGGAATATTCAAACCTCCGTAACTTGTGCCAACAGCCATGAAGTGAGGTTGTGTTTCTTTGTAAAAACACAGCAGAGCAGTGACATAACGGGCGTGAACTTCCTGCAGCTGGATCTCGCTCTGTGATCTGCCCAACACAGTGGCACAGATCTCCGGCGTTACACAACCACGCTGCCCCGGTCACACGGATTAGGCTTCGGATGCCGCACAAAGACGCGGTAGCCTCGTTTCACAAAGCAGCGACGCGCTTTCCTCTCGTATCCGGCTACACCGCCTCCGTCAGTGCATGTGTGGGGGACATTTGAGACGTGAATTACACAAGCATTTAAAAATAAGGTTAGATAAAATAATGTTAAAAGGTCAGGAGACTGGATTTTAACTCCCGTTTTGTCGATGACACAATCCAGTTATTAACAGGGCAAAACGTTCGTCCGGTGTTATCTGAAGAGGATGAATGCAGTAACGTCTGAGAGACCTCCTGGCCTTGTCCTCTATTTCATTACATGAGCATAGCGGTGAGTTACATCACGGTTACCGCATGCATCTCATGCCTTATGTTTATGAATCGGGTACATGGTAAAGCTGCCCACTGCTCCCAGACATGCAGAGGATGGGTCAAAGGTTAAATGTCACGTATGTACCTGTATGCATGTGGCAAGTTTGAGTTTGACCCCGTTTAACAACCATGACGATGAGAATGAGTAAAATGCAGTGTGTTTGTTTGCAGATGGAACCAAGGCACCACGAATTGAGCATTATCGTGTTACTCTTCTTATAATTATCTAACGGAAGGTGTAGCATCGACATCCAGAACCTATCTGATTGTAATCGATTAGTTAATAACAGGTCACTCCGATGTCTACAGCAGAGTGGGATTTGCAGTGTGTGCAGTTAATGTCTCGACAAGCACTGATCAAGTGGTAATAGTAGTATTAAGATCATATTACGATATATTAAAAAAGTGCTAGAGGTAAAGTGGAATAGGACCAAACACTCCCTCCCGCATCCAGCTCCACTGACCCGCTTATTCAGCATCACACACGCTGACCTGCGAGCCGTAAAAGCACCGTTCAAAACGCATCGTTATTGGCCGCACAGGGGCCATTTCACAAGGGCCCGCGTCCTTCTTTCGCTCGGAGCGAGCACAAGGTAACGTTGCTTTGTATGTTTTAAAAGTAAAGTGGAGCGAGCCGCCGCCCGCGCACGTCCTTTGTAGTTAACGTCACGTAACGCATTTTCCAAGCTGGACTATTCATTGATTCTGCTACAACCAACAGGTGGAAAAACCAACACAAACCAACCTGTGCCGCCGTGACGATGAATGGAACCCGCCTCCGTGGTTGTCCTCGGTGTCGAGTGGAAGAGAAGCCCGACCGGCGAGTACGACATTCGGTTAAAAAGCTCCGGCATTCCTCGAAGGCAGACGGTGCTCGGTCGATTTGACACAACGGCTCCTCCTCCTCTGGCTCCGCCCCCGGCACCGGCCAACTGACCAATCGGCATTGGGCCTGAATTGAGACAACGCCCCTTGCGTTTCCCGATTGGCCGCAAACTAAAGGTTTCCATGGTGAAAGATGACGAAATTGTAAAAGCGGCCGTTGATTGGTCCCTAGCGCTGTCGATCAATTTTATATAAACAACCCCTCCACAGCACGTGGAATCCCATGTCGATCTGGGTAGTGCAGTGTGAGAAGATTTTATCTGTATCTGGGTCGAAAAATGTTTTAAACAATTAAAATACGTTGATTCTAAAAGTGTCATCGAAAAAAAGTCCAAATATTAGGTCGAAAATTATTCTGGGAAAAAAAAAAGTGTCAAAAGGTGAGGTGGAAAAATGTCATGGGGGAAAAGTAAAATGTCAAAATATGTTTTTGAAAAACGTTAAAATACGTTGCATCTAAAAATGTCAAGGAATATTAATTCGAAATATTAAAAATATTTTGTAGAAAAAGTCAAAATCTAAGGTAAAAAAAAAAAAAATACAGATGGATACATACATTAAATTAAAAGAAAGCAAAAATTAGATGATTAGATTCAACTTTGTCATCCCACAGAGTACTGAGGCAACGAAATGCAGTTTAGCATCCAACCAGAAGTGCAAAATAGCAAAAAAGTGTAGTGTGAGTATGTGCATATGTAAAGTGTAATAAGTGAATAAATATGTACAGTAAGAAATAGATATGCAATATGAACAGTAATTGGGACATAAATAGCAGCAATTGAGGTAAGAAGTGTAGGTATGATACAAGTATTAGTGATAATAAGTGAGATGAGTGAAAGCGGTATTATGAGGAAAATGTCTACAAGTCAAAATATCAAATGTCGGAAAAGGTTTTTAAAAAATACCTAAAATGGGCCGTGGAACAGCTGAAGGCCCTGGAAGCGGGCGGGCATGAAATGTGTGAAACCTGTGTAATTTTCATGTACAATTTATATCCCTTGTTCACATCCTCCACACCGGATATCTGCCGCTGTGTGTACACGTCACTACGACCAATCCTTCTGATGGATTATTGAATTACACAACGGGCAGCGAACAACATACATAACACTTCATTCCCTTCAGGAAATAGAGAGCGAACAAATGATGGCCTCTGAAGGCCGAGGCTTTGTTGCCGTTCCCCAGAACAGACAGACAAGAGTTGTGAGTCGGACAAAAACGGCACTGTTGTACGATTGAGGTGATCGACGAGTCGCAAAGGAACAAGACCCTCCCTCCTTTTTCTCAGAATCACAAAAAAAAATCAGGACAGACGTCATTAGAATTTAACAATAATTTATTATGAATGCAAAAATATCCGATAAGTGCAAATTCTTTGGTTATTTAAGCCACTGTAGGTGGTGTTGATGAAGGGAGGTGGTGCGATCCTCTGATGGATGAGGAGCACGGCTATGAGTTTGACAGCAGCCATGTGACTGGCTGAATGATCTGGATTGTAAAGTTCAACGGCCACAATCAGATGATCGCGTAACAAGGAGAGAGTTACGAAGCGCCATGAGGCGTGAGGGGTGTATCGTTAAGGTGCCTGCGGAGACGTTAAAGTTTAGACTCAAATCCTCCATCGCGCTGCCGCGTAAACCTTTAGCTTTGGCAACACAAAGAACGAGTTGCGGGGAGAAAAAAAAACAAAGAGTGGATTGCATGAAGCGGCTTCAGCCAACATGGAACAGCGTCATTATAACTTCCAATTATTTTTGACTGACAAAAAAAAAATCTGCTGCACTTCATGTTCAAATACCAAATGTCTCCGATAATGATGCGACCATTCAGGATGAGTGCGCTTGCTCAGTCATTGAGTGTCATTCGGAGGAATTTGTACTTCTCCACTCACAAGTTGCTGTGATGAGGATCTTGAATTCACTTTAACACGACTTCCTTACATTTTTACAATGAAGCTACATTCTTCTCGCAACAGGCATAAATATTTCAGAAACCTATTTCACTCTCGCAACCGGTGACAATGACAAATTAAAGACGCGAAACCTCACAAGCCAGAACAGAAGAAACCGACCACAGGCGGAGATGCAGCACGGTGGAAAATAACTTTAATAAAACTCCTATGAAAACATACCAGCAAAACAATAAAAGCCTGTACATTTGACAATATCCAGTGTCTGAGAGGTTCTAAGGCCAGTGGTGCAAAACACAGCTGCATCAGACATCCACCGACAGAAAAAGACCATCATAGTTTCATAGAACAAAGTATGGTTCATATACTCGGATATTGCACGAAAAAACAAAGATGCTGAGGAGCATTGTATGTCAAGACGAGAAGGTAGCTTTTCATCGCAGTGTAATGTCCCTCCTGATAAACCCCGCCCACACTGACCCCAGACTCCGCCCACACCTGCTCGTATAAAAACAAGGATCACTTAAAAAGAGAGCGGCACATATTTTCACATTCAATTCAGACACAGATCATTAAAAACGCAACGTGAGCGATGACGCCACCAAACTGTTGCTCATTTTTCCTCTCGTTTTGGTCCTGACGTGTTAAAAAGCATCGGTTATCCGCTTCTCCTGGTTGCTAGCATGAGAAGTCCTTTAAGACATGTGGGCGAGCGGTGACGCGTTGTCCAATAATGTTCTAGATTTGGGGAAACAAACAACGCACGTGGACATTTCAAAATAAAAGGAACAAAAGAAATAAAGTGTTTGGTTCGTTTAAAAGAGAAATTATTTTCTCGTGTGAGTCTTTCCAAAAACATTCCAGTGTTCACATGAAGCGTGATCCAAACAGAGGGCCAAAGGGCCCCCCCGTCCCCCGGTCCATACATCTCTCTCGTCCCAGTGTCCCCCGTGGACTGCTGAAGTAGTCAGAGACGCTGCGGACTCTTAAAATGGCAAAAAGAAACTCATGAGAAATACTTTCATCTCGCGGTTTTGAGGCACATCGAGGCGGCGGGAGAGAACGCGTTGAGTCGTGGGCGTTATGCACATCGTTTTAAGACACGGTGGGGGGCGGCGGGGAGGAGGGGGCAACATCCACCAGACAAACCCTCCACTGTACTTAAAGCAGGTCCCCCGTAAGAGTCCATACGAGCCTCGTTTCCAGTCCTGTCTGACAGCTCGTCCTCTCCGAGCCAACAGCTCTTTCTTTAGTAGTGTGTGTGTGTGTGTGTGAGCGTGTGTGTGTGTGTGTGAGTGTGTGAGTGTGTGAGTGTGTGAGTGTGTGAGTGTGTGTGCGCGTGTGAGCGTGCAGGGCGGAGGCTTCAGTTCCCTTCCTTTGGCTGCTGCTCCATCAGCAGTTGCCGTGCAAAAATTGCAAAAAAAAAAAAAACCAACCTCCAGGAGTCCGCAGAAACACCACAACATGTAGCAACGCCAGGCGGCGTGCGCTGCGGCGCCGGTGATCCGTTTCTGAGGGGTGCGGGGGGGAGACGGGGGGGTGCCCTTCTTTAGATGAGGCCGGCTGTCGCAATGTCTCCTTTGCATACGCCCCCCACGCTCGTTCACTGAGTCCTCCTGCCTGCTCCCCCCCATCCCCCCTTTGAGGGACCTGAAGCGCCTCTAGGAGCGGTTGTCTTTGGCCACGTTGTGCGCCATCCAGTTGACTTTGGTCGTCCAGCTCTCTCTCAGCGCCTCGTCGAACTTCTGCCGGAACTGCTTCAGCGCATCCTCGTCCGTTTTACCCAGAGCAAGAGAGTCCTGGGGGGGAGGGAGGGTATATATGTGGTATATCAACAGGGTGAGAAGATGTGTACATGGGGGGGGGGCTGATGAGCACTTATCATTTACCTTTAAGTACTGGATGTCTTTGACTGAGGTGAGCTCGGGCAGTCCGGCGGTCAGCATGAGGGCAAACAGCGTGATGAAGAGGTTGCCGTTCTTCCTCAGGACCAGGTAGGCTGCCTCGCAGTACTGACGGAAGCTGCGACACAGAGAAACACGTTTAAAAATCACAGGTCGTGTTTCACCAGAACACGACCCTTGAGACGATTCCTCTCATCACATGATGAGTGAGGGCCAATCATCATCAGAGCTGCCAGCCAGCCTTAAATAAACCGTGTGTGAGCCTCTACTGCCCCCCGCAGGTGGGAGAGGGTACTGCACCAACTGACTTAAGCAACCAGTCGCTCCCCCCTTCATTCACGCTTTTAAGGTTTGGTGTAGATGTAGTCACGGATCAGCAGGCTCCCTGTGATGGATTTGGGATACTTTTAAGTTAATTTATCTACCTGCTGCTGATTTCATCACGAGACACACTGACTGACAGCTGCTCAACAAGAAACGTATTTAAAGAAAAAACAAAACAGATGTTTATTGTCTCTTTTATGGTCTAACGTAAACCATCCAAGTTAATCCATTGACATAATCGTTGGAATAACAAGCCAGATACACACAACCAACTGCGTCAAATTCATCCATTTGAACTGTATAAAAAAAGCTGCTGGATATAAAAGTGGAACAAACCTGGCAAATTTCTCCGTGTATCCAGTCTTGCCCTCCTGTATGACGTGGATGAAGTCGTGCGTGAGGATGAATGGTACCCGCTCCCTCTTGATGCCGAACTTGGACTTGAAGTTTCCCAGGATGTGGCCGAAGTCGATGTGGAAGAGCTGACGGGACGAGAAGGGCCGGAGCGCTGAGCATGGAGGACACCGGGTGACAACGGGTGAGCGGGCGCGCGCGTCCTACCTGTCCCGTGCTGCGGACCATGATGTTGTCGCTGTGCCGGTCTCCGATGCCGAGGACGTACGTGGCCACACAGTAGCCCGCGCACGACAGGGTGAACTCCTCGATGGCCCGCTCAAGAGCGTCGCTGCCAACACAAAACACTTTAAGCACATCGGTTTTCCTGGACTCTGGATTCTCCTCCGGCGGGCCTTTTGGGAATCTTACCCAGAATTCCTCTCTTTGAGCCAGTTCAGCAGAGCGTCCTTGTTGAAGGCGGCCGCTGCTGCCACGTTGCTGCTGGTCAGCTGGATGTTGGCGATGGTGTCGGCCGACGAGACCACCTCGATCAGCCCTGAGCGGTCCCCCGTTGCTAGGCAACCGTACGGTACGATTCTGCAGGACACGCGGGCACAAGAAAAGCAAAGGGCTTAATGCCGTCAACTGAATCACTGCGAACAAACACACAATACAAATAATGATTTTAAAAAGTGGCGCATTATCAAACTCACCTGAGGTCCAGATTAGCCTCCTTCCATAGCAGATCCATCAGCCTCAAAATCTGGAGGGTCAACATGTCTTGCCGTAGGTCTAGGAGAAGATCAACATCTCTTAATTTCAGAGAATATTGTGGATTTAAAAGCCCGATTTCCACTCCTCTGGATTCCTACCATCCCCGTTCTTGAAGATGATTCCCAGCGTGTCTCCCCCCAGCAACTTGTTGTTGTAAACAATCCAGAGCGGCTTCATCTTTGAGTCCATGTAGCGACATTTCTCCACACTGATGGGGGGGGGGGGGAAGAGAGCAAGAAGGTGATGACGCACCGCTAAACGGGAGGAAAAGGTTCCACTGCATCAGAAGCAGGATGGTCTCACTTGATGCCGGACAGCAGGATGTTGGGGTTCAGAGGCGAGTGAAGGTCCGACAGAGTCTCAGAGTAGCCGCTCTGCCTCAGACAAGTCATCATGGCCTCCTTGGTCAACATGGCCTCCTTGGTCTTACTCCGCGCGTTCTTGATGGTCCCCAGCTTGATCAGCTCGTTCACCGACTTCAGCTTGCTCAGGGCTTCCACCTGGTGACGTCAGGGCAATATGCAGGCCGCACATTTTCATTTTTAGGGGCCTCTCAAGCCACTCAAGGTCACCTCACAACACAGAACCAGCAATAAAACAAAGGATCCCTCCCTGCTCGATGCGACGGAGCTCAACCTCCTTCTACAGACCCCCGGCGGCATCGAGCCGGCTCTTCCAAACAGGAAGAAGGTCACATAAATGATGAGGAAATAGGAAGAAGAGGCCCCAGGAGGGATTGTCACAACGAACAGTGCAGCGGGGCCGAGGTCAGGGGGCAGGCGGGTGAAGCTGCGGTTGCCACGATGAGCTAAAAATACCACCAGTCCAGCCCACCGGGGGGGGTTGATGGTAAACCATTCTGGTTGTGTGAAGACCAGCAAAGTGTGACCTTCAAAGTCGCGTGAGTGTCCTACCTGTTTCTTTAGAATCTCAATATGAGGGGATGCTGCCTCGACAGTAGGCTTCCAGGATGAGGGCAAACTGGACTAAAACAGCTGGCATGTGGATTTCTGCCCTGTTGGGGGGGGGGGGGGCAGCCAGTCAGAAGAGAAGCCTCCCGTGACTCCACACACAAAACTCTTAAATCGGTCGTCCGTACACACCGCAGGTGCCAGAAGAGGAAGTGTCCTATCTTGCGGTTGCCCTGGGCGCGCTCCAGCAGGAAGTGGGTGAGGGCGCAGTCGTAGTACGGCTCGTAGCGCAACACCTGCACCAACTGTAGCAAGTACTGCGACAGCTCCTCCTCACTGGGAGGATGGGGGGAGAGAAAGAAGGGAAGCAGGGGGAGGGCGTGTGATTAAATAAAAACAGCAAGGGAACGCAACGACGTGCACACACGGCCAGAGGATGACATGCGAGAGCTCGAATAATATATATACAGTATATATATTTAAAAAAAACACATCCTTACCTCATATCCCGCAGACAGCCCACGGCGTACTTTCTGACATACTGGTCCGGGTAGTTGAAGTCCAGAAGCTCCAGAGCGTCTCTGGGACTCAGTTTGGGCCAAACCTGAAGCAGTGCCTGGAGCTGACACACACACACACACACACACAGAATGTTTTTGTATTCTGAGGCTGATGAAGATGCTAAACTGCATGTAAACTGTTCTCCAAACAAATATGGATTTAAAACCATGTCGTGCAAAATAAGTTAGCATTTTTGCCAAAAGTGTAGACTAAACTTACCAACATCATTGTTAGAGCTTCTGGTTTATTCGACTGAGCACATTTCAAAGCTTAGAATTATTTTGGAATGTTCTTTTCAGTATCAAATGCGCAAATATTTTGTCTTGTTTAAATTAATTTTTCCTTTAAAACAAGCGTCTCAGTCTGTTCTTCCTCATGATAATTGAATAATGACTCATGCAGACGGCCTGTAATAATGGTAAAAACAACGACATCAGCTCACTAACCTGCGCCATGTCCTCGTGTTTGCTCCACTTGACGGAGAGCAGCAGCTTGGGCAGCGACTGAGGGAAATAGTCTTTGCAGTCGTGGCGAAGCGTCCAAATCAAATCCTTCTCGTTTTCACACAGCTGAGAGAGCGGGTCGCGCTCCATGATCTCCTTCAGCTCAATGTTGAACTTCTTCCACCCGCGACTCTGAGGGGAGCAACGAGGAAAAGGCGGTGAGAGGAGGATGGAAGGAAGCGATCGGCGGACGATTGTGTGCAGCGCCTGGAAACCACCACAGGGGGGCAGGAGTGCTTCACAGCTTGCAGCAATTTCTACATCGACTGCAGCTCAACACTAGGACCAACATCGTCTTCACAACGAGGCGCACACCGTCCGATGCAAACAAACGTTGATGCAAACTAGTGCTAAAAGAAAAACAGGGCGGATTTAACTTTCTTTGCAGACAAATCGTATCAGACCAGCGGCTCCTGTGCGGATCTCTAAACCGATGCACGAGCGGAGAGTAAAAAGTAAACAGCGAGTTGTAGCGGGCGCTGGTACGTCCACTCACGCGCAGCGCTCCCATTTAAGGGGCGTGTTCAGGCATGCACTTTACCTAACGCACCATTACGTAACCGGCTGCAACACGCCCGGGAGAGGGCTTTCAGTAGAGTGCCGGCGAGACAGGAAAAACACACGAGCAATCTGATTAGAGTGGGTCGTTTTGAAGGGGACAGGAATAACTCCGCAGCTACACCCAGCCACCGCGATGATAACAGGTTTCCAGGGAAACCAGCAGCGCGAGGTAATACCACAGCGACGGAGACTACTTGAAACGCACGGATCACTTTCCGTGGTTTCCCCCGGTTCGTTTCCCGTATGTGTGGAGATTCTCAGGCGCGCCGACGCCACCTCCTCCCACCGCGCGTCAACTCACCATCAAGTCATTTGGCTTGACAGTCTCTGCAGCTTTTTCCAGTATCTGCAAAAGGAGAAAAGCAAGTGAGGGCCATCCAATCAGTGGGGGATCAGACTGATGCGGTCAAAAAGTACGCAACACAAAATGGGAAAACTGCCTGACCTTGTCAAAGGGAGGGAAGACGACGGAGTGGGACATGTACTCCGGGAAGTGGATGTGCAGCGCTGTGGCGTTCTCAGTGTACGGGTTGGTCTGAATGGTTCCTATGGGGTTCAGCATCTCTTCAAGTTCATCTGCCGGAGACACGCGCACACACACACACACACACACACACACACACACACACACATGAAGTCACTCAGTCACCGGAGAAGCTCCTTTAATTCCCTTAATTGTATTAGAAGTAGGGATGGGCATCAGCATACATTACATCAGTAATCTCTTTGTTTGTCGTGTGGCAACAAAAAAGGAAAAGTACATAATGAATGCAAACAAAGGGAATGTACAGGTGCAAGCCTTATAATGTTAAATTTGAAATAGAAAATGTGCATCAACAACCTCCTCCAGGTACGTCCAGAAGACCACCGCTTCACCCCCGAAAGTAAGAACAATGAAATGACTCAAAACGTGACTAGATATAATAGACATACCAGGAAAGGAGGACCAGCAGTGCAGGATGATGTCTCCGGTCTTCAGCTGGCCTTTGTAGTCAAACACCATGGTGTTGACCCACGCTATGGGGTAGTGCTGGACCACACACGGGGGGGGGGGGACAAAGACAAATGACTCTTCCATCAATGATATGGTGATATAACGAGGATGGTTAGATGGGTTGAGCCCGTTTCTTACCACTTTCCCTGCTTTGCGGATGGTCTGGTACTTGTTTGTGTGGAGGTTTTTGGTGGACTTCTGCTTCTTCACCTTGTCCATGACGGCGTAGATGGCGAAGCAGAGGCGGGTCATGCGCGGCAGGTCGCACACCGAGAGGTCGAACTCCAGCGTGCTATTATTCCACGTGTGGTCCGAGCGGCCGCTGCTCTCGCTGCTCACCGCCGGCTTGCAGAGCAGCTCCGTGCCGTGGAAGAGCCCCGCCCTCACCTGGACCTAGCGGACGGGAGGGGGTTGGGGACAGCTTCTGAGTGCGTGCAGTGGCGCTACCGCAGGAACAGCAGAGTTGAAATTCCATTTTTAAAGGATTTTGGACGGCGCGGCGGTTTACCTTGGCGCTCTCCTCTGCGTTCACCTTGCTGCCGTTCACCAGGACAATCTTAAAGGGCTGGGACACGTCCCACACACACGTCTGCACTAGCTGCCGAGGGAAGGCAAGTGGAGGCAATGAGTGAGCAGCATTTGCATATTGCGCTGGGAAAATATGCACACAATCAGGAACTGATGCCAAAAAAGTACACAGGCAAACACAACCACGGTCCACACAAGTGTACGTGTCCTCCTCCACAGACACGCACATGAACAGCAAAAACAGTGTGGGGGGGTGAGGGAGGTCATTGTGATGTCAGGCCGAGGGGATTTGCGATGGGTCAGCAGTCAGCAGAAGAAAAAAAACAACAACCCAGCATCACATGACCTGTGGAGTCTACGAACATGACTAACCAGCCCACTTCCTGCAGTCTGCCGCGCGCGTCGATGTGTCTCAGTGTGTGCGGTCGTGTAATTGGCCTCATGTCAGATAAGACGGACGGTTTGTTCCAAAATGACGGGCAGACGCGAGCGCTGCGTGTAGTCCTCCGTCCTCCTGCGGTGGGTTTTTTGGGGGAGTTTTGAATAACCGGATCCTTCCTCTGGCTGGCAGACAGACGCAGTGCAACGCTAAGCTTATTACGGTTTATTAATCTGTGTCGGGAGCACTTATGAAAATTAAAGCGCTAAACAAGGCGTTGAGTAATCAAGAATGAGAGTAATTTAGGAGAGTCCAAGATGTCATCACTTCATTGTTGCAGTTATTATAATAATTGGCGTGTGAATTGTTGCGTTATGGAGGGCAGCTTTGATCGCCGACGGTTCACTAAACGCCGCTCGACTTTGTGCCAAATCTGAAACAGCACAACGGGACTTTAGAAAGCAACAATGTTTTGGGTTTCAGTGAAGCGCTCTTATCAAATCTCAGATCCAATTAGACTTCATCTAGTTTTTAAATATCAGTTAAAACGTTTGGCACGTTACAGGCAATGAAGGCTTCAATAAAATAATTATACTCATTATGTTTGGGCAATAAGCTTAAAACCATAAAAACAAAGGCGAGTTGGAAAAGGAGAGAACCGTAAAAGTCTGAATAAATCAAACTGGCAGCGTTTCTCCTTCCTGTGAAAAACTACAAGAACGGACCTGTTGTTTCAACAGTCGCTGGCTGCAATCTGCCAGAAGGTGAAGGTGCTTTTACTGAGATATCAACCATGCAGGATCATGGAAAAAGAGCGATTAGTCAAGTAAAACGAAACTAACTGGCAGAAATGACACCAAACGCTGGTTTAAGACGTGACTGGGACATTTTAAGTTAAAATAAGTATTAGCTTCAACCCTTACCAACTAGTTAATTACTGGTTAATCCAGGGCTTCATGAGGTCCTGTAAGTTAGCAGAACGATGCATCAACTCCAATTGTGGGGAATCTGTGATCTCTATATATAATTAAAGCTTTTACATCGGTCGGGGTGTATTTTATTAAAACGTGCTAAAGAGATTCTATGCTGCCCTATTTTTGCTCTGCACAGATCGAAGGCATTTTCAAACTGCCGGGTAATTAAAAATCCCGGAAGACTGACGAAGGCCAATTAAATTCAACCTGACATTTGAAATGTGGACACACACACACGCCACTGTGCACCTGGCAGCAGCAGCTGCACAGAGGAGTTTTCTGACAAATGTGGCGAAAGCTGGCAGGACGCATCGGAAACAACGGCTCATCACGAGGTGAAGCTGCACACCTGCCTCGCTCCGCGCAGGTGAGCCGATGGTCTGTCACTTTGTGGGCGGATGTTAATTGATAGTTCTCCAGAAAAACAGCACAACATTCTCAAATACGCGGCACACCCTCAGTTTTAATGCCAACGATGCGCCTCACGTAATATCTGGGACAATTAAAAGAAACGCGCGTTAACAAGCGTACAAAAATAAAAGACTCCAACAAGCAGAAATGAAAACATTAACTTCACTTCAGCTACTGAAGACCCCCCCCCCCCCCCCCGATGTCTCTGAAACCATCTGCGGATGTGGAATAGAAAATATCGCCACAGCGCAGAAATGGGAAGCGCGCACACTCTCGCACTACTGGCCTCACCGTGGGAGCCCTTCTCTTGGGGGGCAGCGGGAGAGGCGGGTTGGAGGACTTGCGGCTGACCACGGCGCCGATGGCGGAGATCTCCTTGTCGAACAGGACCTTGACGTTGCTGGCGTGGACCAGGGTGAGGTGCGGGGGCTCCTTGGCCTGCATGCAGGAGCGGATGTACTGCAAACAAGACGGGAAAGAAATGCTGTTAGCTGTGCGCATATCTTTGCGCACACACACGCACACAAAAAGTGGATCCTTTTTTATGGTTTTGCAGCATGTTAAACGTTGAACTTTCATTTTGCTGAGGAACAATCTTGTGCGAAAGCGCCGCTGTGCTACTGATAAAAGGATCAGCTGAAGAACAATTAATCCACGAGCCGCGACATGTGAAATTCATGCACAGCTTGTCAGCAGACTTGATCAAATGAATATGCAACGTTTGGAATTGTAGTTGATTTAAATCAGTGCAATACAAAAAGAAAGAACAAACCAAAACGTCGCTCGCTGAACTTCAGCCGCTCACATTCGCATACCAAGAGTGCAATAAAAAAACAAAACACCTGCCTCCGGGTTTCGAGTCCAATAAACGTCTTTTGTTGTGTGCCGATGTCATTTTGTTTGCACATCGTGTCCTCTGTTTGTGCGTTAGACAGTTTCTTTGAGCAGTGCCTTTATGTAAATAACGCGCAACAGCTTTTTCCACAGCAACTGAAAACTTCCTGCGTAGCCAATACCTTTATCAAACACGGAGCTCTGATATAAAGACGGGACACCTGCGGTGTGCATTTCACCATAACACTGGTTGCTGGAATCGTTAAAACACGCCATCATCCATTCATTGTGGTGCAACACGCGGCCGCGCCCCCCTCACTCACCTTGTACTCAATCAGGGGCTGGTCTCCACACAGGAACTCCAGGCAGTGGCTGACCCTCAGCACGTACTGCCCCCGCCACGCCTCCTCCTCCTCCCCCCCCTCGGGCCCGTGGGTGGTCAGCCACTTCTTCAGGGCCTGCTCCATCAGCTCCGAGGGGACGCAGGACGACGCCACCTTCAGGCTGGCCGAGTCCTGTGGGGCGAGACGAGAGCACTAGTGGCACGTCGGCCGTCAGACCGAAAAACGCTCGTTTTAACCACATCCGCGCCTTGAAACGGTCTTACCGGAAAAGTCGTAACTAAAATATGTGAAAAAGGGAGGCTGCTGCATCACATCAGACGGTAAAACATGCTAGTTACGTTGATTGACGTGTGTCATGAACTCGCCCTGCAACGAATAAAAATGAGAAACCAACAGCGCTGCGATATCATGAAAGACTCACCGCTGAATTCTAAACACTGAACTTTGGTCCCTTTTCACCTTAGAACAAACAAACCACAACGGCGCTCTCCTGTAACTCCCGAATGAGACTTCCTGCCAACGTCCACCTGGGCGCCGCGTCGCACATGGCCCGTTCATTGTGTGTGTGTGTGTGATGTCGATCAAAGCTGATACACACGACCATCTGTTTTATAATGAAATAATATTGATATAACAGAGGAGACGGGAGACAGACAGCTGGAACGAGACAGTCGAGTTCAGATAAGGAGAGGAGAAAAAAAAAAAAAAAATAATAATTTTAATCAGAGCTCGGATCCCTCGAGTTGCTGTGTGTGTGTGTGTGTGTGTGTGTGTGTGTGTGTGTGTGTGTGTGTGTGTGTCCGTAAGGAAGGAATCATTTCACTGATGGTTTTGACCCACTTAAGTGTTCTCACATGACTTGACGGTCACAACCGAGCGGAGAATAAAGACTTGCCGAGGCGGGCTGGTGGAGTCACATGGCTTCTCTTTGATGTGGTGGAGCGGTCACAGTTCTTCTCAAATGAGTTTGCACAAGCAGCACGCCAATGGGCTCATTGATGGATTTTTCTTCATTTTTCTTGTTTAATTAATTAATTTTTTGAAAAAAAGGGACGAGCCACCAGACACCTTCAGCCCTGGTTCTTCTAGCGTGAAAACCGACCTAAAGTCACTACTTTAATAAGCGTTCCACCAAAAAGAACAAAGCGTCCCTCCTCCCGTGAGGTCACCCGGCCGAGGGCCGATTCCCGCAACATTCAACGTAAAGTCATTAAACGAACTAATTATGGTTGATTCATTTCAGTTAAAAGACTTTATTGTGTTTGTGCAGTTTGCAGTAAGGCAGATGGATACAACCTCCCACAATATGTATTCAGCCCCTATTATACATTGGTTTATATTATGTACTAATCTATATTCTCCACGGTCCATCCGTCATTCTCTTGAGGGGGGGGCAGCGTGCTTAGCAGAGTATTGGAGGAAGCGTCTCCCCGGCAACGTATTTTCCAGCTCTTTCCTCGGGCAGCGCAAGCCCCGAATAGATCTATAACCTCTTTCTTACCGGATACCGGTAAAACCTCCAGCGGGAGGATCCCAGGGGGCGACCGGGTCAGACGCTCAAACCCAGATCGACTGGCCCTCCCCGCACGAGGCGCAGCGGCGCATCCTACCGTGCATCTTCCCACCACTACAATCCGCACAAAATAGAGGACTGTAAAAGGGAGAAATACTTCTGCGGCTCGTCTAATAAGGTTCTTCCCTCGGGCAAAACCTCTAAATAGAAAGTTAGGGCTTGATGTCTGTAACAGGAAGCAGACGTGGCTTTTGTTCACGAACTTTGTCTCTGCAGACTTCACTCTAGATGCAAACCAGGACGGATTTATGACACAAGACCAAACAGTTCCTCCATGGACCAGCTATTCGTTTTCAATAGTCTGCACCGGTAACGTCTCTCACCTGAGACTGGTCGAAGTGGATGATGACCTTCAGGTCGGCGGGCCGGTCGTTGAGCCCCTCGGGGGCGGCCGGCCCCGCCGGGGGCTCCAGCTGCGGGGAGAAGCAGGCCTGCAGCCACTCCGTGCACGTCATCATCTGGACCTTCTGCATCCGCTCTTCGCTGAGGCGAAACATCTTGCTGCGGAAATCCTTCACCTCCTGGTCATTTATGGCATCGAGTTCGTGGAGACCTGGCGGCGGAAAGCGCGGTTAGAGATGAGGGACGCGACTTTAACGGTGACAGCATCTCCGGGAGACGTCTTCATGTTATATGAACCAGATGCAGTGAAACATCAAAGTAGGAAGCTGCATTTTCTAATGTGCATGAACATGTATTTTCAAAGAGACAAATAAAGCCTGTGAATTCAAACACCTGTGCAGGTGGACACGTGCACACGTAGCAGCGCTGAATATCCGAATATCCAAATGCCAGCAGTCTGACCAGCTGTTGGTCTGGCCGGACTTCATCCCTCCGCTCCCTAAGGAGCTTTCGTCTCTGCCCATTTTATTTGTGTACTTTGTCAAAAGCGCGCTGCACAACAGCCTCTTGGTAACGGTCCGCGTTTAAAAGATCCGCACCGCGTGACAGTATTCCTGGAGAGGAAAACAACACTGTGTTCCCACTTCACTTTGACAAGACTCCTTCGGTCATAGAATAGGGAAAGATGCTCGTTGTGATGTCACCGAGCCCGAGGAGATGCATTTAAAATTAAAGTGCGAAGAAAAGCAACAAAGTCACATTTGAGAAGATGGAAACTGCTAAACTTCTGTATGAATCATCAAACTACTGCGCTGCTGGGACGTACGACACAAAACGACTAACTCAATATCTTTTGTGTGGAATAAGACAGTATTCTTCTTTCCACCATGACTGAAAAGTCTGACTTGCAACAAGCGTTTAATGCGCCGCACAAGATGAACACAAAGCGACGGGCGATGGAGACGTCCGAGCAGCCGGGAGACGATTTGCAGTCCCACTCACCGGCTCCCGGGGGCCCTTTCCTCCCCCCCACTCTATCAGGCACGTCGGGCAGGGGAGTAATGTGTGCACTTTAACCCCCCCCCCCCCCCTTCTTCTTACCCTTGCCGATGAGCACGCCAATCTTGGAGTCCAGCAGGCGCTCCGCTCGGCCGCAGTTGCGCGTCACCAGCCTGAGGACCGGCAGGAAGGGGCGCACGTCGCACAGCCGGCGGGACTCGTCCTCCAGCTCCTCGTGCACGGCGGCCTGGTTGACGCACTCGAACATGTGGCTCTCCATCTCGCCCAGGGAGGGGAACAGCGGGAACGACTGGGCCTGCTTCCATAAGAGCTGGGAAGGGGGAGAAGAAGAAGAGGAGGAGGAGCCGGGGTGAAGTGCGTCGGCACCACAGAACCACAGGGATCACATCGCCGTTCGCTACCTGTGGAATAATCGATGGCTTCCGAGTAGATTTGTTCCTTAAACTGAACAGATGCCTCACATTTCCGAGGAGGCAAACAGCCGAGATGATCGAGATGATTATCAAAACACCTGCAACTTAACCTTCAATTGATGGCTGCAGTGACTGCGTGGCACGAAAACACGATCCAGATCAGTTTTGCGTCGGGTGGGAATGTCTTTCTTCACCTTGCACACGAATAAATATTAAGAGTTTAAACGAATGTTTCATCACCTCAGACGACTAAAAATGTTGGGTGTTCTGTTCTTTTGATTTCTGAGAAAGTAAAATCCCAACAACACGTGACGTTGGCTCACGGAGGAACGTGACTCAGGGGCAAACACAGCGCAGCTTCTGGGCCGAGCCGATCGGGCTGTGAATGATGCGCATTGTGACTCATGTTCATCACAGGGTCGGCTTAGTCGGCTCCGGTGTGTTTGCCCGAGGTCGTGCAGCTTCCGCCGAGATCAGAACACTCGTCCCTCAAAACAAACGTCCTGGAGGTTTCTCCACGAAACAAAACATGCGGATCTTCCACCCATCTTCATCTTTGTTATTATTCACGGTGTGAAGCCGGCCTGGTCACCGCTCCTCCTCTTCTCCTCTGACATATCATTCGTCATAACTTTCCGCTGCGCCTGTACACGCTTACCTCAGGAAACGGAGACCTTTCACAACCACGCGCCAACCGATGCCTTTTAAATCATGAATACAGTATCGACGTTTAGTCCCGGTGAATTCAAAGTCCTGAAAACGTTCCTCAGTGTGTAGTTCTGGGATAAGAATGAGTGGAATCCTTCTGTGTCACAGGGCTGATTGACCCGGAGGCGAGTTGCAGAAAAATGTCAGTACGCGCGCACATGATGGGGAAACAACCCGCCCGGGCTTTTGTCCACAGCGCCTGCACGTCTGGGGGGGAAGCGTGTTGGGAGGGGGTGCACGTTGCCCGGGATTTTAAGACAAATGCTTGCACACCGAGTAACTGCAGACAGAAACGCAATCCAGTGCATCGCGACCGGAACACAGGCGGTAAACAACCACTTTGCCAAACGAAATCACTCTGAGTGGTTTCGACTCAAAAGCCGTTCACGGAGTCAAGTCGCCGCTGATTCACTGCTACGCGCCGCACAGGCGTTTCCCGCTTCCGCGTCGTTCAACTCCAGCAGTCCCAAATTCAAAAACAACTACTCAAACTTTTTTGAGTCATTTCCTTGAACACTTCCAAGAACTCCGTGAATTCCGACATCTGCTCAACGGAATTTGCTGCGTCACTTCGACGTCGTGAGCGGTTTGTGCGCCCTGAAGCTACAGATACCTGGAGAAGTACAAACAAAAACACCCGGCAGGCCGCAGCAGCCGCCTCTGTCACGACAAAGGCATTAGATAATAACTGACCTGCTGTGTGACATGTTGGTTTCCCCTCATTAGCCAATAGACCAACAGGTCATGAGAGGACAACAACATGGACACGCAACAAGCAAGCGTGTTGAGCCAATCTCCTTTTCTTTTTTTTTTTTTAAAAGGGTGTTGAAAGCTGATTTCACTAAACCGTCTTACTGCCCCGTCGCAAAGCGCCGCCGGCGCCACTCACCAGTTTGATGTGCTGAATGGTGGCCTCGCGCGGAACGTCCATCTGGATGTAGATGCCGGTGGGCAGCAGGAAGTCCACGGTGACCTGGTCCAGAACGTGGCCGGCCAGGGGCGAGTGGGCCGCCCATATGTCCAGGAGGTCTGTCATGGCGGGAGGCATCGCACGCCACCTCGACCATAAGGACCTGGAGAGGACACGCCGACACATTGGTGGGTTTCAGGAGAAGGCGATTCGTTGACAGAGTGGTCGCCATTTGTTCCCGGTTGGTCACCTCGGGATGCTCGAAGGGTGTATTTTTGGGACGAGTAAAACTGAGCCTTTAAAAGCTTGATTACAGTGGAGGAAAATGACAGCTGACAAAACAACTTAAGGAAAACAAAGCGTTGGTTACATGATATCATCCTTTCCACAAACACTGGAGTCGGCCAACTTTAAAAAGCGTGTTGCACCAGTGTCGTTCTGGCTGAGAACGCGTTGCCCACAAACAGCAGCTCGCGCCGGTGTTCCAGTAAGACATTAGGCCCCGCCCCTAAGCGAACACGCTTGTTTATCCCGACCCGAGTCCGGCTTAAAACAACAGACGGTCTGCGAGTTTGAGTCAGCGCTGAGAGAAGCTGAACCCTTCCGTCAAACGACACTAGTGTCAAAAGAGACAAGAGTTTCATCCCTCGAGACCGTCGACCAAACTGCTCCCAAAACTGCTGTTATTTAACAAGTAGAGTCTCTTTGGAGGCAGCAGGAGGCCAGTGGCTTTAACTTGGGCGAGGGCCAGTGCTCAGAGGAATGCCCACTAAGCAAACAGAACAAAAGGTCAGCCTCCTCTCATCCGAGAACACAACCCCCCCCTAGAATACACACACACACACAGACAGAAAACACCCACTTATATAGACGAGCAAGTGCATAAAAAGGTGCAAGTATACACGGGTCCTTAAGCAACACAAAAACAGCAGCTGCTACAAAACAGTTACTCTGCACGTGATCAAAAGTCCGCAGCTGAGACCGGACTCCACATCCAGCGCGTTCGACCCACATGGAGCGGACATGCAGCTCGGGGACGAAGGGACGCGCTGAGCGCCGCGGAGCTGCATGTGAGCAGCTGCTGGTGTAAAAGGAAAACGAAAAGGAAGTTAAACTCCCCACAGCCTGGTTTCCATTGGGGCGAGCGCCCGGACCACAGCTGCACCATCACGCCACTTCCACCTGCCTCCTCCTCCTCCTCCTCCTCCTCCTCGTTAGCCGGCCCCGCAGCAGCAACTCCTCCACCCGGCCGCAGGTCCATCTCCATTTCGTCTCCATTCCCCCCCCATTAAAAGTGACAGCGCCGATTGCCTCTAATGGGTTTCCCCCCCCCCCCGCTCACTAACTTAAGTGCTCCAGCTAGCGGCAGATTGGCTGCTTGGTGCCCGCAGGAAATCCGCTCTGCAGCCGCGGTCGAATGTTCCAAACCACGTTCATGTATGAAGGACTCCCACATACATGGAGACGCGGTGTTTATCACACGCACACTTTCTTGTTGCAACAAGACATGAAACCAGTCGGGCGAGGGGACGAAAAAGGGGCAGTTACAGGACACCGACGGCGCTCACAGGACGTTTTCACACCAAACAGGCCGAGCAGGCGAGTCGTCCTGCTGAGACTCCCTCCCCCACAGGACATTATATTCACAGGTGAGCGGGTCATGGAGGGCACGGTGGCAGACAGCCAGAGGTCAGCTGCAAGGTCACGTTTCAGCGGGCAGATTGGGGAGAGAAAGAGATTCAAGTTTTTCACCAAACTTAAGAGGAACGATCAGTCACCTGATCACTGCTTTGAATCCACAGTCAAAGGATGGCGGCGGTAGATGAGGGGTGAGCATAACCTGAGGGGGAGGGATGCGGGGGGCAACTGGCTCTATTCCACACAGCCTTCCCTCCCAAAAAAAAGGGAGACGACGACACGTCGAACCTCCGTTAACGTGCACCAGGCGCGTGGCGCCTTCGGGGTGGACGTCCGGGTTCCTCTGAACCGGCGACATGTTGTGAAGGCTTTCACGCCCAGATGCGTTTGTGGTCGTTTAAAACACTGGCGTTACTCAGCACTCTTTTCTAAAGCGCCCTCTGTCCGACAGTCGCGGGCCTGTGAGGCTCTCCACAATGGAGTGTGTGTCCACGCGTCTGTGTGTGTGTGTGTGACTGGCAGAAAAGGAAGGGCTAACATAAATAGTTTGTGTGTGTGTGTACAAAGAGGTCAAAGCGGGTGATTGAGAGTCCTGTGACACATTTTCCTCCACAACGGGCTAAAAATAAGGTTCACAAAGAGGATCTAGGACCTCGTCACCTCCCCACTACAAACAAACACTGTCCCCCAGTTAACCAGGGCGGGGACAAATCGCACAGGCGATGCCGAGGCAGACGGAGTCAGCGTTTCCACCTCCGGGCGAGCGGAATGAGGGAAAACTGTAGGTGCAGGTGGGGTTTCAAACCATTTACGAGACTAAATAGAGATTGCGCAGCAGCCCCCCCCTGATTTCACTACCAGTGATGAGGTGTTTGTCACCGGAGACGCTTTGGTTTGTCACCACATGTCCGGTTTCACTCTGAACCGCCAACCGCGGCGACGAGGCCAGGCGCTACCGAGCGGCACCCGGAATTACACTCTGACAGCAAAGCAGGGCTGTAAAACACGACGATCTGAGAGACGTTTTCTCCAGTTCAGAAAGACCCGTTTGTGACGATCGCGCAGAGCAAAGGGAATCTTTTAATAAGCAAGATCCTTTCCTCAGGTTTAGCTGATGGATTCATTCTGAGGAAACTAAACTAATCTAAAAATAACACGATGTGGAGCGAAGGGATTTCAACAAACGGGAATAGCAACATATGGCAATATGAAACGTTTTTAAAACTACGATATCCTCCTCTGAGATCCAGTGAAGTAGACTTTTCCTGCGGGAAACAGTCGACTCTGAACAAATCGCCTCCATGCGCACCGTCTCTCAGAGGAAGCACAGATAAAGTGATAGAGTGGGAGTGTGTGTGATGTTTGTGTGTGTGTGTATGTGTGAGTCAACCACATCCAGACAGCTAACAGCGCTCCATCATACCAACCCCACCTTCGTCCAGTGACACACAGGCACATGGCCACTTTGCAGACAGGAAGCAATGACACCAGACAGGAAGTGAGTGACAAACAAAGACCGGCGTAAAAGTCCCCACCTGTCATTCATGAAAAGAAGAGGAACGCTCAGAGGCTCAGCTGCTGAATCAAAGGTCACGTGATCTTACCGAGCGGATTAGGAAAGGATCAAGTGTCTCTGCGTGGCTCGTATTTGTGCACACGCACGCACTCTGACTCAGGATTTGTTCGTGACAGTAGAACCGGGTCAGTCACAACTGAAGAGACGTCAGACACAGTAGGACCGAGTGTGCGACGTGCACCTGAGCGCAAGACGCCAAACGTGGGCATCGATCCCGCGGTCTTCAAAAGAGTGAAGACAAAACCGTTTTTGATGGCGAGTAAATAAATATGTCCCGGTGTCAAATGTGCAGCACCGGTGCGGGAAGCTGCGTCTCCCCGGCGGCGTCCCGTCCCCTCGCCTCTACACCCCGCCTTCTCTTCAGGAATGTCCCTGGTTCCGTTGCTCATCATCTCCCCGGCATGTCAGTCATCTGCATTCTACTGGCTCAACAGACTGTGTGCCGCCGAGACTTTATTTTGTTGTTGTGCTGCACGAGTCCAAAAACGTCGTCTCTGCATCACCCCCCCCCCCGGGATCGAAGTCCCAAAGGCTCCTCAGTTAATCCACCGTGACACTCGTCACATCACACGCGTTGCCGATTGTCACATCACAGGCGAGGAAACAGCTGTGCCACCGAACCAAAGCGCCTCCGTCCGTGACGTAGGCTGTGACAGAGCGAGTCTGCATCGGGACGTCGGGAGGTTTAACGTGCCGTCAGGAGGTGCGACGGACTTTCCCTGCACACAAAGGCCTGCTGGGTGATTCCAAAACAAAACTCACTAATGGTTGTGCAGTTAATACAACCGACATGGCTGCAGAATCTGAATGGAAATGTGCCGAAATGACTCTGCCGCGCAGATCAACACGGCCACTCAGAACGACGTTCATGGTTTCATATTCCAGCACATTGAACAGATGGAAGTACGTCAGTAAACTCCCTCCTACGGATCCGTTCAAAGCCTCAGCATGTTCGGACCTCGGTTATGTCACAGCAGCCGGGGGGGGGAGGAGCAGCCAACGCCGGTGCATTGAGATAAAAATAATAATAAAATAAACGCCTTTGAGAAGAAGGCAAACATTTTCTTTGTGAAATCAGTTGCCTGGCAACGGCCGGGAACCTCTTTCACGCCGAGCGTATTTGCACACCGTACTCGAGTCGAGAACATGAACTCACAAGTTCCACTTCCACAGAAAAAAAGGCTGCATCGGTTGGAACCTGCCTGGAACGAACTGACGTGCATTCTGCAGGAGCAGAGTGTGTGTGTGTGTCACCAAGGAACACGAACACACACACACAAACACGGGTTCAGGTGCTGATGGAAATGAGGTTAAGTTTGGATGCATCAAGAAAACAAACAAAACAAATCAAACAGGCTTAATGAATTTTGCTTGTTCCAAAAAGTCACCACTGCTCCAAAAGTCAGTAGTTTTCCAGAATTCCAAAGGAAAAAAATCCCGGCGTACAATGTCAGCTGGCGTCGGGCGATCGGACGGAAATATTCGCGCTTCACGCTCATTTGATGGTGCGAGAGAAACGGCCAAACTCAAGTTAGTGATTGTCGGAAAGAATAACCAAACCGAGGCCAGTGTATGCCCCGCCCAAGGCGCTCGAGACCCCTCAGAGGTTAAAGGTTAAGATAGACCACATGCAAGGTGACGCCTACAGCACATTCCGTACGCCGTCACGTGATGAAGCAGCAGGTGGCGGCGTGATTACACCTCAGGAGCAGCAGCAGAGCCCCTCAATGGAGGTTCTGTTACCTGAAGGAGGAGAGGACGTCACATGGTGATCATGAGAAGAAGAACGCGGCGTCGGCGTCCATGGCAACCAACCCGGTTTCTTAAAAAGAATATCAATTAGCGTACTGCCAAACGCGAGGAATCGTGACGGCGCTGAGGATAATTCTCCAGTAATTTGATACGCCAATTACTACGCAAATAAGTCTCCATAATGACGACGGATTATG